TCGTTTGATTTAAATATATTATTCTCTTAAATTCTTATATAAAGATTGAAATTTGAAAATTTATTTTCTTTACAGCACCACAGAGTGCACGGATTTGGTGGTTAATTATTATTTTACTAGTTATACTCCTGTTGCTCATTATTCTCTGCATTGTATGCGTGGCAGCTCGGCAACGTGGCGCAAAATATCCGGTATCGGAGAAAGAAAGACAACAAGGCAGACAGCCGATATTACCTGGCATTAAGGAGAGAGGATTCGGTGAATATATTAAGCCGTAAGTTTTTAAATTATGATATTTTTGAACTGGAATTCAATAGCTGAATATAAAGTACTGCAATAACACTTAATCAGTGGGAACAGTGGGGTCGCAAGCGGTAAGATAGTCGAATAGTTTTTTTTTTTAATAAGCTATGGTTTTGTGTTTTCACTTTTTTTTTTTTCTAAAGAATAAGACATGATTTATGTTTAAGATTTTCTAGAGAAGATGACGAGAAACGATCATTAACGGGCAGTAAAGCGGAATCAGAAACCGATTCAATGGCAGAGTATGGTGACACAGATCCTGGGCGATTTACGGAAGACGGCTCTTTCATAGGTGAAACTAATGTTTATAGATTTGCAGGTTGTCAGAAGGAGGATAATTATGGCGGATTTTCGTATGAATAAGAAAAAGAAAATTTTTCTTGCAGGACAATATGTGCCGAACAAAACGTTAGTGAGTACCACAAACGACAAACCTGGCAGGGATTGTGCTTCGACGTTTGTTTGATTAGTCGTTTTTTTTTTTTTTTTTTGAACTAATAAAAGAAGTCTATTATTGAATTAGCCGGTGATTGTGGGAAAGCTTTATGGTTGTGGCATCTTAATATGCGTTTTGAAATTCCTGTTATCCCGTTGTTATTGAGCTTATCCTAATAGTGAATTTGACAGATGGTAATTTGAAGAGCAGCAGTATTTGATAAAAGAGAGAATGTTGCTGTCGTTACTACTAATGTTTCTGTGGTAAAATGACAAGGGAAAAAAAATTCAATGCTCTTCCTACTATCATTAATTTGTATTCAGTTGCTAGAAATGTTCTTCCATACTTTGTATCTAGAAACACTTCCTGACGCTTTCCCACTACATCTGATTTATGTATGTGATGTGTGTGTATGTGTGTACTTGTGTGTGTGTATGTTGATACAGAGTCGCGGGTTTCTTTACGTGACGTGAATTATTTTTCTTAATTTTTGTATCACCTTTACGGGAACTACTGATTTGTGCTCCCAGTTTTTGTGCAACACTTGATCTCTTGTTGTACCATTTTCAAATTCACAATTAATTTATTCTTCCTAAAATGAAATCAAGCAGGATCCTTGAATTTGTTGTAATTCGGCGATCAAAATTTTCGAATTTTTAGTTAAATTTTTTCAAAACTGCCGAAATGATTTCGATCTTTTCTTTCATCCTGTTTCACTTCAATCTGAGTAGTTAAGTAGGGTATGATACCTTTGTAAAAGTGTATTTGTTTTAATCACCCAAACATTCCATTGTTTTCTCTCCTGGCTACATCGGTATAATTTAGTTCCTTATTTTCAATCTTTGATTTAGGTAACTATGCTTTTAAAGAATGAAATTTGTTCAAATTGTCCTGAACTTTCCCTTTTTTTTTTTCTCTCTCTCTGTCTCCTATTCTGCCCTGAAACGGTGAATTGTACAGTGGTTGATATGAATACAACTATGATTGCTATGAATTTGTTTTCTTTTTGTATTGCTTTAAACGATGGCTGTTGTTGCCAGTACTGTGATTTCTTTCATCCTGTTAATTGCCCCACTTCATTTTCCCATTTAATTTTCCTATAATGTTTCCCTTATTTTAAAATTATATAGGATCACCGGCGGTTTTATCCTTCTTGTGATTTTGATTCCAATATAAGTTGCTGCTTTTCATGTTTTTTTAACACAAGATGGAAAAATCTTTGTGAAAGAAATCTCGTGAAATGAATTTCCCTTGAAAATTGATTGTCTTCAACTTTTTTTTTTAATCTGATTTAGGAAAAAGCCTTCATTTTCTTCTTTAATTTGCTTTAGAAAGTTTAAGAAACGCTCAAGAAATTGGGAGTTTTTTTCTTGTTTTTACTCGTTCATTTGTTCAAGTTTTATGAAAAGAATGTTATACCGCCCATTTTCTTTTTTTTTCCCCTCCCTCCTTCCTCGTCTAACGATCGCTGTTGTTCGATATTATTGTTGCAATTTTTTCTTTGCATGTGTCGATAACAACGCTGTTAGCACAGGAGAACTTTCACTTTTTTTGGGTAAAAAGAAAAATTATAATGTTACCAGTTGTTAGCTGCTTATTTGTTTTCTTTTTGTTCTTTTTTACTCCCTTCCATATATACAATGTATGGTTGTTAGATGCATGTACTTGTCAACAACTTCGCTAGAAATGAAAAAATTTAGGCCTTAATTTATGGTCTATCTTATGTTTCCTAAGTGTCGATAAGATTATTATTCCCCTACTGTTGCTGCTATTGTTGTTGGAAAAAAAAATTTTTTTTTGGTTTTTGTGTTTCTCAGTTTGTGATTGGATATCACTCTATCTATGTATAAAAATCGTATTAGTAGCAAAAAAAAAGAAATTAGCTATTATACCATATTTTGGGAATGATAATGTATCCTCCAAGAAACCGAAAAAGAAACTCTGAATCATAGTGTAAATTTATGCTTTGAAGTACTAGTATCCATGCAAATTACCATATAGAAACAAACATATCAGTTAATTTCTTCTTTTCTGAAAACTTCTATACAGATTTACAGATTTTCACTTCCAGAATATATTTTTAAAATTATTTACAAGAGGGAAAAGAAGAAACTTTCCATCTTGCTTTTTTTGAAAATGTTTTAGTTATTATGCCATTGTGATTCAGTTAAAATGCTGTATCATCATGGCGTTGATAGCAACTGTTGGATAATTTTTATGTATCATTTTCATATTAATCTGGTTTCGACTGAGTATAATAATAGTTAGTATGAGAGTTTTACACTTATGCTAATGTTACTCAAACAGTCTACTATCATATAAGCTTTAAATTTTGGGTTTTCATCTTTTTTTTTGTCTTAGGTCCTTTTTTTTTCCTTTTTATTCAAAAACAAAAAAGAATGACCATGTTTGTTGTTGTCACAGAATGTCTTATGTTACACATTCACATTTATATATGAATTACATCTGTGCATATGTAGTTGAACTATTGAACATAGCTGTTATTATTAATAATTTGATACAAGTTTCAAGTATTGTTGCTGCTATATTTATGTTAATCAGTTGAAGCCAGGTTTGCTAATGTATGAAAAGATTGAACAAATTAGGCTAATAGTGAAATGCATACAGCATATCCTCTCTGCAATGAATGTGCTGCCAATTTGTTGATTTTCCATCTTCATTTATGAACTCTCGCCTTTTTGTTTGTTTACATTTTTCCACTTAAGATATTATCACCGCTTGATGTTTTTTATCCAAAAATGTTTATGTCAGTGCTTTGTTTTTATTTATTTTTGTTTCTCGTTTACTCATTATGCTGTTCAAACAATGATAATTGTCGATCGGCTCGGGCTTTGTTCGACAACACTGAAGCGCTTCTATTTTCTTTCTGCCAATTCTGATTCCGGTAACTGAGTTAATTGGTTTCCTTGATTGTAGTTGTCTGCTTTTACACATATCATATCTTACTGAATAATTGAAATTTTTTGGGAAAGAACGATTTCTGGACTACGCTTCATGTGTTCTTTTGTTTTCTTTTTTTTTATTGCGATTTCCGTATTTCGAGAAAAATAAAAAAATTACATAGAATTTAGTTTTGCAAAATTTCGCTGTAAATTTTATCGGATGCAGAGTATATGTTGAATGTCACTTACTGGCTGTCACTTCAATGACCTAATCCATGATGATACCCTATGACTAATATTATAGTTAACTGTGTTGGCATAACTTACCGCTAATTCCGTAAAATTTTAAAACACCTGAGAAATCGACGTGTATATAAAGCAAATGATGATAGAGGTCTCCTTACTGAAATTTGTGTCTCCTTACTAAACAGAAATGTGTGAGATCTTGACACATGTTCTTAATATATTTTGTCAATTGGAATGAAATGTAACGTTTGCATCATATGGTGTTAATTTATTGAAAAAAGTGATTATAACACAAAGGTTTTTATCTTTTCATTTCCTTTTGTTTTAGAAGATCTGGTTAAATTTGACAAAAAATAGAAAAATTTAATGGTCCATACAATCTAATTTCGAGAAAATGATAAAAGACTGATTTAGTAAAAAATAAAGAACTGACAATGTTGAACTAATAATGCTGATAAACAAGTATTTAGCAATGATTCTTTGTAATGAAAATAAGTGCAAAAAAAGTGCTATCATTGTTGATATACCTAAAATGAAAACAGGTATTAATTACTGATGAAATTAAAACCTATCTAATAATTTGTTGTTAATGACTACATACTGATAAGATTTTAGAACAGATTAAGCAGAGATAAGAGTAAAAGTTGGAAAAATCAAATTGAAAATTTTGTCAGACAAATTGATGCTGGTATGTTTTTCTCCTACCTTTAAATAACGAATGATGAATAGATCAAAGTTAAGATTTTCTTCACTGTTCAAACGAGTTGCATTTCACACAGTGAATGATTAATTAACAGAAGGCTGGATAAATTTTATAGTATGAAATTGTGGTCTCTGTAATTATATCATTCAATTAAGGTAATATCTGAGAAACAGAAATATTTTTGCTTTCAGCACTATAGCAAAATCAAAGGATTGTTAAAGTATATACATATGCAGCATGTTTAGCAATTATGAATCAATTTGAACATTATCAAAGGTCACGGATTGAATTCTTATGTTATCTCTTGTTTTCTTAATAATTAACATTCAAACTATTTTATCCTTTAGTTAAAATTGAAAAAAAAAAAAAAAAAAAAAAAAAAACGAATTTACAACATTGATAATATAAATTATATACATGGTAAGTTGCGTTGTCTAAGTTCCTGAATCAGTTGCGTGAAATTGCGTTCACTGTAGACGTGTTTTCGATCATTTGCCACCGTTTCAATGGTATAAAGATTTAATCCAGGACTATTCGTATCAACATGCCCATCACCCTATAAATTTAGAGCTTTTTTATTTCAAAATTTATTGAAATTCAATTACTAAGACTAATCGATCATTTAACTTATTGCTCCAAATGATATAAAATGATTTTGATTTATTAAATAGGATTTATAGTTTAATGGTTAAATAAAGTATTATTTATAAGAAGGAGAAGTATTTGCGGATTGCTTCATTCGTAATCGACTCTTCACTAATTTATAAATGATAAATGTTATACAATTATCATGAAGTATTTTAAGCTTAAATTAACCATTCGATTTTTGGATCTAAGAAGAAGAAAAAAACGATTTTATTCGTATTTTTGCCTTTATTCAATTAATAAATTTCCATAGAAAAGAGAACTGTAAATAAACCTCATAAACTACGGTATAGAGAGTAAATCCGGCTCCTTTAGCATTACGGCTCATCTCCTCAACATCCGGTCCTTTATTACTCCATCCATCCGTAAATACGAGCATAGCTTTTTTTGCGATTTCATTAGGTCGACCACCGTGTTGTTTGTCCTTTTGTTCAATTCCAAGTCGAATTCCTTCACCTATAGAAATTGATTAATTATGAATCTTTTTGTAATACGATAATTAAATTATGAATTATTATTTATTTCATATTATTTTAATAACATTCATTGGTAGTAATTGATTAAAACATTTCATTTTATTAATTGTAATTCCATCTCCTTTTTTTTTTTTCGGGTCAAAGAAACTAAAGCATTATTTATAAGAAGGAAAAGTTTTTGCTTATAAAAATGGTTGAAACAAACCAACTGCAGTTGTACCACCTGAGGATTCCAATCTTCGGATTGCAGTTACAATATCTTTTCCATTGAAGTATCTAAATTCATTAGTAAAATATATTTTTTTGACTTGTGCATACAAAAAATATGAAACTATTTAGTTGTTTAGCTGAAATGATTTGTAAATATATGTTTTATTTTTAATGAATTATAACTAGGTTTTTTTGGTATGACTAATAAATTACTATCTATAATTGGAATTCACGAAAACTTTAAGAGAAAAGAAAATAAGAAAAATAGAGAAGGAATAAATATTATATATATATATATGTTCATGAAGTTTCAATCTGTTTCATAATTTATAATTTTTGTGCTTATTGATTCTGGAATGTGAAAATTTTTTAGCTTTAAGAATTTCAATTATTATTTTTATTGGGTAATATTCCTTCTTTTTCTTTTTCCTTTTTTTTTGCAACATTATTTGATTTCGTCTTAGGATTAACACTTAATTCATTCAAATTACCATTTAATTACAAATTAAAATTATATGTTAAAGTAATTTAGCTCAAAGAAGAGACTGAATGATAAAATTAGTAACTTATCTGTACATTCGGTCAGCTTACCATTATTTCGAAATAATTTTAAGATTTGAGGATAGAGTAAAACTTAAATTTCGCTTTGTTTTAATTTCACACATTTTTCAAAATTTGTAATTCATCATTAAAAAATGAAAGCTTCGACCTGTCTAAATTAAATTGTGTCCTTGTTTTACCCACTGAGCTAAATGTTATTAGTGCAATTCGACTAAATCGTCGACCAATTAAAAGCCTATTGATCAATTCTTCAGCCATTTCTATGTATTTCCGGTAAACAGGATTGGTTGTTGTTGATAAATCCATAACAAGTACCACATCCTGCTCACAGCCTGTAATTTTATCCTTTTTTTTCTTTCAGCTATAACAAATTTTTAAGAATAATACCTAAAATATCATCCAAAGAGTACAATATCTTCATTTCATATCCCGGAAGATACTATATTAGACAAAATTATTTTAATTAATTTCATTTATTTAAATTATCAATAAATCTATAGCTCACAAGAAATTTGAACTGAAAATTCAATCAAATTATGATAAAATAATTTCGCAGTTTGTATTCAATTCATATAAAATATCCGACAAATCATTTCAGTTTCAAAATTTTCAATTAGATAATAAATTAGCATATCACTGTGTTATCAAATTTATGATTACAATAATTCGACACTTTTTTTTAAATTGACAATTAATTTTATTGATCAGTTGATTTAAACTAAACAACTAACTGATATCATTTATTTATCAAACTGAAATTAAGTCATAAAATATAAATACCTGAGATTGGATTAGTTGTAGTTGTAGTAGCTGTTGTTGTTGTCGTTGTTGTTGTCGTTGTTGTTGTTGTTGTACGACATTTTTCCTGTGCTTGTCGAAGTAATTTACGCGTAATATCAGCTGCTAATTTTCGACCGCTTTGTAATATAATATGATTGATGTTACCAGTTATTTCAAGTAGTTCATTTCTAGAAAAGAAATTAAATTTCAAAATTAACAGTAATTTGTTTTGTTAGGAAAAAAATTTAGCATTTTAACTTTTATCATTGTTAATTTTATTTGTTTATTTCTTTACACAAATAAAAAAATTATCATATTAAATTATTGTGATAATTAAAATGATGGAAATTTCAACTTTATTCTTTATTTTATAAAATTAAGAGAAGTGTTTTCATAAAATTTAAAAATCACAAAAAAGAACAAAGAAAACTTTGTTTTCTCATCTTAGTAAAATTATTGGCATAAAAAGTAAATTGATAATTAAAGTCAATTTGTTAGTGATTATTGAAAACACTGAAAAAAAAAGAGGAAAAGAACAAGTTTAAATTATATGCTATTAAAATTTATTCATGCTATCTTCTATAATATAAAAGAGACAAACGATATAATATAATAAAATCATAAGGGTATATTTAGAAATTTTCTTTTAAAAAATATACAAAATTCTTGTGCCTAATCATTTTATTTACTTTTTTTTTCCTAATTACTTGTATTTGCTTTGTCATTTTTTAAACATTTATTATCAATTTTACACCTTATAAACTTAATTAATCATTGAAAATTACCGAAAAAAAAAAAAAAAAAGAAAAAGAAAAATTAACCACCCACCCATTTCTTGTAAACTAAATATCTCAAAAAAACACTTTTTTTTGAACAATTGAAAAAAAAGAAAAAAAGAAAATAGAAATTTATACTTGTCAACAGCATCAGGATCACCAGTTGCTGCTGCAAAAACCCATGTATTCGGAATTTGTTGCAATTGTTGAGCTGGAATTTTAGGATCATCTGCACTTCGACCATCCGTAACAACCATTATAAGAGTAGGAATTGACTTATTACGTGTTTCCATTAATTCAAGTCCAAGTTCTAATGCTTTCCTAAACAAAACATAATATGAAAAGTTCAAATTTTTTAATTTTTTTCTTCTAAAAACATATGCAAAAATTTCAACTTAATTATATTTTAATTAACTAAAACGAACAAATGTCTGCTTCATTTTCAATTATTTTTTTTCCTTCCTTCTAACTTTCAATATTTAAATTATAAAATCAGCTTAAAAATTTCGAGAAATTAATATTCATTTGAATTTCTTGTATAAAAAAGGAAGAAAAAACAAATTTTTTCCAGTTTTTTTTTTTTTTTTTTTAAAAAAATAAATTAGGAAAAAAATGAAAAGAAAAACATTTAAGATTCAAGATCGTTTAAAATTGAAGTAAAGTATGAAAATTCGATTTAAAATTGCAAATTTCTCCAACTTTGTATTTGTTGTACCACCAATAGCTCTTAAACCAAGCACAATTTTTGTAAATTCTTCGTTGTTTTTAGCAAAATTCCATTTGAATACTTCACGACGATAACTCAGTCCAGAATATACAATCATTGCTACCTGGAAGAAAAATAAGTACTAAATTTTCAAAAAAAAAAAAAACATTCAATGAATCAATGAATAATTTCTCACTCAATTTTTTATTCAAATATCTTAAAAATAAAAAGTTCCGATGAAATTATTCAAACCATACAATACAGTTACAGTTAATCTATTAGAAAGAAATATTTATTATAACAATTATGTTATTTAGTCAATTTATTATTTTGCAAAAATTAAATTACGTAATAAATTCTAGCTAAATTATAACCAGTAAAATGTGTTTAGCATTAAGCTTTTTAAGCTAATTAAGCTCACTGTCTCATACATATATACGTTTTTTTCTCTTCATAAAAACAAATTTAATTAATTAATTAATTAACCCGGTGTGTATCTGGCCCAATGTCAAGTTCCTCCGAAACATTGACGACAAAATTTCGACTTCTATTAAATCCACCTTTGACAGAATCTGAACGATCCAATATAACGAGAACATTGAGATAACAACTAACTGGAAAAATTGGCGTCTGTGTTTTCACATAAATCAATAATACTGTTGCTAAGCCCTGAAATTTTCAAAATTAAAATCTTAATAAAAATAAAAATGCAAACAATTAAACAAATACTATTAAACAAAATAAATTTTAAATCGGATTTAAACAATTTTCTAAATTTAATTTATTTTTATAACGATGGTATTTTGCTGTAATTTGAATTAATTCAACAAATATAAGGATAAATTTTTTTTTTAGATAAAATAAAATGTTTGAGACAAATAAGATATTACTTTTTATGCAGTTTTCATACATCATATTGAACTAATATTAGTAATTCTACTTCATTAATTGTAAATTTTAAAGAGTACAGCCAAAAAATGGTTGAATAGAAATCAAACAAAAGATTCTTAAAAAATTTTCGTACAATGAAAAAAGAAAAATACTTGAAAATAAAAAAAAAGAAAAAAGCTATTGAATGAGCAAATATAATTCGTTGTTATTATAATTTAGCTCATTTGCAGAATTAAAAAAAATAGGTAATTTTTTACTCAGAATTCGGGTGCAAAGATTTTCCTTTTCTTTTTCATTTTTATTATTTCAAAAAATTTCGTTGAGATATTTTGATACTTATCCATTCACATAGTTTTTTTCTCTTTGCTTTTGTATATCCTTTAAATGTTTAATTTATCATTTTTTTTCTCACTACTTTATGAATTAAAATTTGCAAATTTACTCAATGTAAAAAGTTTTAAAATAGCAATGAAATTTTAGGAATTTGACTAAATTTATTGTACAACTTTTCTTTTTTTATAAACTGAAATCTATGTCTGATTTGAAATGAACTAATAAATTTTATATAAAATATATTAGCAAGAAAAAAACACAGCGAAAAAAATTTTTAGGTTCTTTATTGCTTAAAGAAGGAGAAAAAAAATAAATTAGAAAATGATAAAGGATAATTATTTAAACCGGTTAAAATTTTTGTTTTTCGTGTTTTTTTTTTTGTCAATCAGTTCATTATATGTGTTAATTTCTTCCACTCATTTTTTTCCTTTTTACAACTGAAACATAATCAAAATATATGAATCTTTCTTAATTAATAAGCGAGAAAAAAAAAAAAAAAAAAAACAAGCTAATATAGACAAACTATTAAAGTTGATTTTAAATTAAACAATTTTTGGAGAAAAACAAAGAAAGAAAGAAAAATAACAAAAAAAAAATGTAGAAAGCAAATAAATTTTTAAGCAATTTCCTTTAAATAGCTTATTAGTTTCAAAAAAAAAAAGAAAGTGAAAAACATTTTGTTTATTCGCTTTTTTCTGAATCGTAATCTTTTTGAAAATAAAAAAAAGAAAGAAAAGATTTGAAAAAGAAAAAACTATAAGTTGGAATTGTTCAAAGAGAATTTCAACAGCTAATTAATTATTGATTCACTAAGTATTTTGTTCAGAAATTAAAAGTTAAATTGCAGTTGGAAGATATTAGTATATTAAATAATTATTTTTTTGGTATTTGAAAAAAATAGTGTAATAGTTGAAAATTATTACAACAAACTTTAATATGAAATTAAAATTTGTCAATTTGAAAATAATTAAATTAATTAGTAAGTGCTGTAAATTCGCAAATAATACAATAAAGTTTTATTCCATTTCATTTATTGCTACTAATTTTGACTAGAAAAGGTGAATGAAAAAAGAGTTCCAATTATGAAATATTATATATTTTTAAACATTTCTACCAATTTTTAATTTTGATTCACCCACTTAATTATCAAAATTTCTTTTCCATTCTTCCTTTTCCAATCAAATGCTACTTTTTGAACATTTTCCTATCATTAATTTCGTTTTATATAATAAAAAGAAAAAAATCAAGTAAAATGAATTAGTAGAAGAGAAAGTAAAATTTTGAAAGGAACAAGAAGAAAAAAATTGAATCAAACTGAATGTTTGACCTTGAAAAAATTTTTAATTCAAAAAAATATTTGAAAAAATAAAAAAAAAAAAGTCCTTATTGAGAACCATATGATTTTTCTAAAAGCAAAATATATGAATTTTATTGGAAAATATTATAATAATTAAGCATGAATTAAAAAAAAAATAAACACCAAGCATTAAAGTTAAAAAAAAGCTAATGAATCATTGGTTAATTATCATTACCAAAAGTGTTAACACATCAAATGAATAATAATTTTCATTGTTAATGAGAAAATTATCAAATTGCCTTCTTTGTCTATTTATTTTTTATTAAGAAATAAGTACAAGTGATAAGATCAGAAAGACATTATTAATTTCAGCATTTTATAGCCAAATATTTCAGTGTAACTGAAGTTACTGATAATGAAATTTGATGAGACTTAATTAATAATAGTATGAAATTTGTTTATCATATCTTATCATTGCAATTCTCATAAAGATAACTCTGTACAAAATGTGAGTACTTCAATATGTATATAAAAAGTTATGTGAATACTTCAATATGGTAAATTTTAAAATGAGATTAGACTAGATTTGACAGAAATTTATGGGTATTATAAATCGTTAAGTCTGTAAGACTGACCGAAATTATGATTGAAATTTATGCAAAAAAAGGCAAAAATTTAATTTACAAACAATTGATAGTTGAAAATATTTTAAAATCTAATATCTCATCAAGAAAGCAATAAGGAGTTTCAAGGAAAAACCAATGTATATTTAATTTTAAAACATAACATTTTTAAATTTCTCTATTAAAGTTAATATTTAGTTTTCATTAAAAAAAAAAAACTTATCGTTTGAATAAATAACTTTTTATTATTTTAGCTTAGTTCTAAAATCTGCCAATTAATTTTTTCAATTCCAAAAAAATTTCTGAAAATAATTTAGTCACTTCATTCTTATTAATAACAATTCCACCTATATCTATTCACCAATAATTTCAAATAGTCGAAGTTTAAAAACGAATTTCTACGCAATCAAACTTGCACTTACATAATGCTATAAATTAAATCTGCAAAAATGTGCTATCAAATTAATGAAATTCACGTCAAAAAAGAGGCAGATTTTTGGTATATTAAATTAATAATAGTTGCAATAAAAAAGTTAAAAAAAAGACAAAAAAATGATATAAGAAATAAATTTGTTAAAATCACTCCGACACTTTTAACAAATGGCATGTCAAATGTCATTAAATCGTAAATCTGATCTTCCCGTCCATTTTGGCCTCTTTTTTTCTTTTTTCATCCTAATAATTAAATTTTTTCCTTTTTTACATTTCAGGTTTGAATATTTATCTTTTTTTTTCTTCTAAAAACTCATCTCAAAGTTATTTTACTTTATGTGATTTCACTTCGTAAATGTGACGAATAATTTTTAAAATATTTCACAAATTAATATTTCCTCTATACCTTATTTTAAGATTTAATAGAAAATGAACAATTTATCATTTATCTTGTCTGTTACAAAAATGATGTGTAAATTTTAAAAATTTCATAAAATTTTACTTCAATTTTGATTTAACAGCTCATAATTTTTTTTAAAAAAAAAGAAAGCATAGTAGTTTTAGATTTTTTTTACTTCTTAAAAATACTTTTTTAAAAATAAATGACAAAAATTGGTAGAAGAAAGACTTATCAATTCTTCAACCGAAGTCAATTTTTTTTTAAACAAAAAAGGATAAAAAATCGAAATAAATGCACCAAATTGACTTGAAAAGACAATATCCTTCGGCAAATTTTGTATAATTCAAACATTTACAAGAAGAGAAAAAATACTTTTCTTAAAAAATAGAGTCAAAAAAAAGTAAAATAATAATAAGGAAACAAAAAATGATGTAAAAAATGGAAGAAAGGTTGAGTTATTAGAAATTATTCAATTGTGAGAAATTATTTCAAGAAAAACTCTCACCATTAGTATATTTTAAATACATTGGGAAATTTTAAACAAAAAAGATATTTAAATTAAAAATTTTTCAATTGAATAATTTGGCAAAATTTTGAAATATGTTCAAAAAATTTTTTAAGAAATATTTGTACAACCTAAATTGTGCTGATGGCATTTTCTTTATTAATGGTAAAAAAATATCGGAACAATTAATTAATTAAAAATATATGATAAAAATAAAAAAGAAACCAAACTTATTAGGATAAAAATAATTAAATCAATTAATAAGATAAAAAAAAAATTTTTTTTCTCTAATTAATAAAAAGTAAGTTTACCAGTATGATCAAATGTTGCCTAGCCATACGTGTTGTATATGATGACAATGTGTCATATAGGATATTTCGCGTTCGTTAAAGTTTGTTTCTGTGGTACAAAGAAAAACAAAAATGATAGATAAATGGATGGAGGAGAACAGGAGGGCAATGGAGGGGAACGAGTGGGCACATGGAAAGCTAGAAGAACGGGTTTCAATCTTCCTCCTACAAAATTTAATACCATTGCTATACCTTTTTTTTGTCCTTCAAAAAATTTTTTTTGACATTAATTATACAGGTTAATGAGATGAAAAAAAAGTGAGGAAGATATGAATAGATATTTATTTGTCATTATGAAATTTAAAATAATTATTACATAAAAATTTGGTTCGAACAAAATACAAAATAATACATTTTTGAGATTATTAAATTCATGCTAAAATAATCGTACATTAAGTGTTTTCTAGTATTAAATTACTTGAGTAATTTTGCCAAATTGTAGTAATTTTGAGTAAAAATTGAATAATTTTTCTTTGTCATATGATTATTTCATTTTTTCAAGATTTCTTTTTCATAATAAAATTCAAATGATATAATGATGAATATTATTTGGGAAAATTAAAAAGGAAGAAAAAATTTTAAGTATAACTCTAAGAAAAAGAAAAACTCCCAAACTGAAAGCTTCAGAATAATAATAGTATGAGAATTTGGTCATAAGATAAAGGCAAAAAAAAAAAATATTATTATCAATGAAAATACTATGCTCACTGAGAAATGGCAAAATCTGGCACCTTTATCTTCCTTATCACTGTCAATTTTTTGGTAATATGAATAAATATTTTTCATTCTCACATGCAACAATAATAGGCTAAGGAAAAGTTAAAAATGAAAAAGAAAAATATGGTTATTTCTCATAAAATAGAAATTTCTGCAATTCCTACCTTTTTTAACACTTACCAAAATCTCTTAAAAAACATAAATTTCTATCCTTGGTGCAATCAATGATCCGTTTGTCATCATGAAATCATTTAACAGTTTATCTTTTAACTAGAAATACAATACAGTTTTTAGTATGAAAAGATTCAGCGAAAATATTTAAATTCCAGTTAGTCTAAGCAGAATCAGCATTATTTATGCCATAATAATAACAATAATAATAACGATAGTAATAATAATAATTAGTAATAACAATAATAATAGCAATAATAATCAAATGAAAAGAAAGGAAATTTCAATTTTCAAAAAATCAAGCAATACTTCCAAAAACATTAGTATATAAAAAATGATTATTGTTTGAATTTTGTACAATTTCGTTCCAGAAATAAATTAGTTATGAAAAAATACTGGAAGATTAAAAAATAATGTCTCTACTCTTATTTATCTTCTTTTCTTCCCTTTTTCAAATGTAAATCATTTAATAAATGCTTATTCTGGAAAGTAGCAGTAATTACGGAATATTTATGAATTCTATTAATTTCCCAATAATAAGTGAAATATTGATAATGAAACTTTTTCTTTTGAAATAGTAAATTTAATAAAGCATTGTTGTCACCATTTTTTTTTTATTTTTTTTCAAATAAATCCTTTTATTAACAGGGCAATATATTGCTATCAGATTACATAGTACAATTGTTTTTGCTTTTTTTTTTTTTTTAAAGAAGAAAATTAGATGGTTAATTTTTACTAAATTCTTCTAAAGAATTTGGCGGAAATTAATTGCTACCAATGATTTACATGGTAATTACCATTGTATCGTTCACATAAATTATATAACAAACACAGGTGAGCTCATAACCTGTTGGTTAGTCATACTAGTTAAACTATTAAATGAAAGCTATCAGTTAAATCATTTAAATTGTCTCATATCAGATAACTGTTAGGACCAATAAAATTAACTACAAGCATTAATTATTATTCATATTACTTCGCAAACTATTATCAACATCGCTACAATTCGATAAATCTTATAATTTTTATTACAGTTAAAAATTTTTCTATTATTATTGTGTTTTCAAAGTTTATTACATCTTAAAGCTCTTATTATCATTAACAATATTATCATTGTTATTATTACAAATATCATCATACGTATCGTATTTGCACTCTTTCAGCAACATCCTTTTAACAAATTTACGCAATATGCAGTTCCACCTTTCTTTTCCTATTTTCTTGTTCTTTTTTTTTTTTTTTTGCTGAAAAAATGAGTTAGTGAACATGTATTCACTAATGACAAATGTTTTTTCTACACTTCAGAAACAAGTAAAATGATTCAGATATTTGGAAGAATTTCCAATAATTACCGCTAGAACATAATGAAATATGACTATATTTTCCGAATTTGGATCACTTTATTTTTAATTTATTTATGTTTACGCTAATACTTCACGAATTACGATGTTATTGATTGATTTCTTTAAAAGTTTTCTTTATTTGTAATTCATTTTGAACACTAAAGTTCTCTTTCCCTTTTCTCCTTTTTTCCCCGCATCTCCCGCTTCTTCTCTTCCCTTCCTAAATAAAAAAAAAAATCATTAATCACGTTTGAGCAAAGAGAATTTCAAAAATACCGACCAAAAGCAAGAAATTGAAAAATGTAGAATTTCACATAAATAAAATTTGCAGTTTAACAAACATCAGTCCTTGAATTCTTCAAATTTCTTTTTTTTTTTCCTTCCCCTTCATCAGCTCTACAATTTAATTGAGCAAGGTTCACCACTACGAAGTGTTTGTAATAGCAAATCAAATTTTAACTGGAAGGTAAAGGACAAGGAACTTTCTGGTAATCTGATACATACTCTGAGTATCGCACAAAAAAAAGCATAGCAAATTGTGAGTGAAATTTGCTGAAGTTTTTTCTTTTTTTCTTAAAACTTTGTTAAGTAGCTACTTCAGCAAAATGATCTATTTTGAATTGGAAAATTTGATGTAAAAAAAGATCAAAAGTGGTTTGTTCTTTTTCAAATACAAAACAGCGTAATTTACAAAAAGAAGATCAAAATGGTCATTTTTTTTCCTCACAGAAATCAAACAATCTCATTGATATTATCAAGGTTAGGTAATCATTTTGGTGAAAAATACTATTTTATATTGAAATTTTAAATCCAAAAGATTCTCTTGCACAATTAAAAATATCTGCTTCCAGTGAACTGATAAAAAAAGTTTCGCAATTTCAACAAGAGATATGAACCCTTTGCGTTACAAAAAAAAAAAAAAGAAAGAAGGAAGGAAAGAAAAAGAGTCTCTTCCTCAATAAGCCCATATCTAAAATTTATTTGGAAATTTATCATTTATTCAAAATATCAGAATATTTGAATATAGCTTACTCGTACTATTTTCTTACTATGCATGTTTACAATTCTTAGAAATGAAATATTTATCTTCAAAGAAATTTTACCATTGACATCAATTAAATCCGTTAAAAATTTGAAACACTAGCAGCTTGTGATTAAAATATACAAAACGAACTAATTTTAATTTCAAATTCCGTAGAGAAGGGAGAAGTTGCGAATAAAATGAAGAATTCCTCATTGTCCGATCGAGATTGAATAAAAGTATAACATGCATATCTACATTTAAGGAATGTTTAATTTGGATATTTAATCATGAAAATATTACAAATGCCTAAGGAAACAATCAGCTCATGTTCTTGAAAGTTTAAATTTCAGGAAATTATAGTCGTAAAACTCGAAAGTATAATCCGTAAATCTTTCGAAAACCGTACAGAAATTCTAGATTTGCTCAATTATCCTGATATTGATTATGTTATGTGAAACTTCGAGATGTTTTAAAGATTTGACAAAAATGAACTCAGAAGAAAGAAATGAATGAAATTATCAATATGGTTACTGACGAAATGAGGTTAATAGCCTTAAATGAATTATAATTAAAACAATAAAAGAGAAAAAAAAAAAGAAACTGAAAACCCAACGTTTTATTTTCATTTGCTAAGGATTTAATTTCGAAATATAAATTTTAGACCTTATCCCCAGAATAATTTCAGAAGAAGATCAAACAGGTAATGTAAGTTGAACTCGGAAGATTTTGCCCATACTTCATCACTTCTCATTGAATTTATATTTCAACCATATCATATATTCCTGATATTTCGCTTTAGTAGTGCCCATGTATTGGTTACAAAGTAATGTAGGAACGGTAGCCTTTCAAATTCATACTCAAAGCAGTAAATCATTTTCCTCTGACATTCTTCGTATGCATGATGAAATTATAATTTTCTGGATTCAACCTGCTGATAATTTCCTTACTTCGCAAAACTAAAATTCCTTAAATCTTAAACTTATAACAGAACATGAGTTGTAAAAAAAGAAAGGAAAAAGGAATAACTACTGACTCAGAACAAAATTGGAAGAAAAACAGTAGATATATAATTCACAGTGGTCAGCTGATCCTATGACTCTTGTCCACCCATAATGCTTAGTCGATTAAAATAGGTCTGATCGGTTCACCCAACAACTAGAAGATAACGCCATGCTACTGCTTGTCCATCTCTGTAAATGATAGTTATTGATTCATAATAGAATTTACATCAGTTAGTCACAAACCCAAGATTCCGGAATCTTCCTGTTCGAACAAATAGCAGTCAATAATCCAATTCTTCTTCACAAAATGAATAAATGCTTAGAGCTTCAAGGAGTTACAACTGAAAAAACCCAGCCAACCGACCCTTAAAATAAAAATTGGAAACTTGCACTTCTATAAAATAAGCGTATTAAACATAATAATGTTTATGGAGTCCAATACCGAATTTTTTTTCTTCCATGTTTGATTTCTTTTTGTTACATAAACTATTCCTATTTCAGCTACTTGTGAAATTACGCACTAGGTCCAATAGGTTCCTAGCAACATATTTGATTCCGAATAATTAATTTTAAGCAGAGAGTGTTTTACTATCCAGACTATCCCTTGTATAATTTGTCACACATATTATAATAACAGTAGGTAATAACAGTAAGCTTTATTTTCCGAATTACGAAATAAATAAAAATAAAGCATTGCAAGTTGCAAAACGTAAAAATACAAATTACACCAAATTAGAAATTTAAGAATTACTTTGTAATCAAAAAATACAAAGAAAGAAGTTACACCAAACTTCATCATTTTAGGCAAATTGGACAAACTTAACAAGTCTACATTTTTAACAATACCATCCAGAACAATTTCCGTCTCAGCAAAGTGCATTCCATACCAATAACTCATACGCTGATCACTTCTGTTTTCTGAGTACTGATGTTTAGAGTTTCCAAATTAATGAATATGTCTGGGTCATAGATTACTCGAACAATCAGTGAACAACTAGGACAAGCAGCAACATCTTCACCAGCTTCTAACATTTCCCTGAAGAAAATACCTGACACTGCATACATGCATGCACAAAACAAGAAGTAGAAGAATGATTGATCTTTAAGATTTAAATTCCAAGAATGCTACTTTTTTTAGAGTCCTACCATATCAAATTTATTAAACCGAGTGAATCTACTCTCTTGTCTAACTAAACTTGAGGGAAAAAAGTTTAAACGAAGTAACGAAACAGGTAAGTTCAGCAACAAATATGCTCAAATCACTTACTTCGAAATTTCAAACCGATCACCACACGGGCATGGATAACTATATAATTTGGTAGACTCGTTATAGTCAAAATCTTCGATCTCCACTTCATCATAAAATACGGACATTATATATCCATTAATTACCTGAAAGTACTCTAACTTATTTGAAGGCAAGAATGAAAAGATTATAAGAATCACACTCGTCTTTAATGGCTGCTGCTCTACTGAATGGAATATTTATTTACAACAGATGTCAATTCTACCCACTGTAAATGAAAAGTTTCGATTCGTTGTAGAAAACCTCATCCTGTCCTGGAAGAACCACAGTAAAATTAAACGATTGATGAGAAAGTAACTTAAATTAATGACTGTTTGAAAGCCCTCGAAACTAATTCTAAAATAAGATGTATGAATTAGAGCTCAAAGAAATCATAAAACCAACGTCAAAAACACTTTAAAATTCAAATATCAAAGAAAAAAATACGAAAATTCCTCCTCCAACCTCATTTCTAACTTGCATTAAAAATATGAGAAATATAAGTATATGTATATATGTGTGTGTACGTGAGTGTGGGTGTGCGTGTGTGTAATTTAAGCAACAATTAGGGAGATAAAGATCAACTGAAACATAGTAAGAGTGACGCAACTGTAGTATCCTTGCTACAAAATAAAAACCACTTCCAAAATGCTTGAGCCTCATTCTTCTGTCAAAGCTACATCACTGAAATATCAAAATGAATTCAAAACCCACTTCAGTACGTTACCTGACTCACGCGAACAACACGCAACAAAATCAGTAATGTCAGATGTCCCTTTCACTTAACTATATTGAGCAAATACTATGGCCACTACGCAAACGTTATTTCCCCGATGTAAAAATGAAGAAGCAATCAAGATATCCAAGTTTTGTTCCATTCATGATAATGCCGAAATCTCCAATTTTCCCGAATCCTTTATTGATATAGCATTGGAATTTTTGATTTCTCTTGTTATACGTTAATTAGAAGTTTTTCTTTTTACCGTTTTCAGTTATTTTTATTTTTCACAGAGCATTTTTATGAATGGATTTTACATATGCATTCCACTTTTGAATGATTTTTTCAGGATGTACAACGATGAATAATTATTCGAAAAGAGATGCATGATTTTAATAAAGTTTCACTTATCATTTCTGTAGCTGAATTACGATAGTTTTGAAAGAATATCATCTATCGGAAAAGATGGCAGAACAGAAATTATGTGGTGTTGGACGTTTCAATCTAAAGCTCGACTTTCCACCGTTACCTGATGTGAAATCATCACCACAGCTGTTAGTTACCTGAATTTTCAAAGTCAGTTGCACTTTGCAAGTGTTAAAGCAATGGAACACTGCTGATTCTCTACCTAGTTTCTAAAATTCGGTTGCAACATAGGTTTCGTATAAACGTTATGAGTGTTGGCAACTGATAAGCATTTGTTGTTGTATTAGTTACTTGGTTTAATGTATGTTGTCCCACCATTTGATTAAAATTATAGGTTTGGCATTCCTTACATTGTTGTTTACTCAAAGTTGCAATTTTTTGCTCATCAAAAACCTAATTGAGATCAGATGTATGTATCATATTAGACTTCAAATCAGTTACTACTCTACTATATTACCAGTGCTTTTGTCTTTATTTCTTGATTCCATCCATGCAACAGTATACTTTCTAATTTGAGTAAGGTAGTATTGGTAATATAGTTGAGTACAGATTTACAAAGTATCTTCTATAGAAAATTTTGATAAGCATTTCAGCGCATATCTGCGGACTCACTCCGCAGGCAAATTACGTTTTTCGCTGGGTGAAGAATATGAATTTACATGTAATGATCTCATCGACAAAGGCGAGATCGGTCGTGGGAATTTTGGGACGGTTAGCCGGATGCTTCATGCAAAATCCGGAACTGTTTTAGCTGTTAAAGTAAGAATTCCTGGAAAGATATTGACACTTTGTTTAAAAATTTAATCTCGAGAATGTTATTATCGATTTTTCCAAAATCTTGAAATGAGTTCGTCTCGAATGAATTTATTGTTCAGCGTATCCGATCAAATACTGTGAACTCAACAGAGCAGAAACGTTTGCTTATGGAACTTGAAGCAATTATGAGTAGCCAGTGTGAAAACATTGTTCGCTTTTACGGTGCTATCTTTACCGAAGTTAATCAATTTCTTATTTGTTCATCTTCCCCTGTCTTTATGTGAAATTTTGCTTACTTTTTCAGCACTTAATTTTGCATAATTGAAAATAAAAGTTTTGCAGGGTGACTGTTGGATATGCATGGAATTAATGGATATTTCTCTAGAGAATCTTTATAAAATAGTTTATGAAAAAGGAAGTTGTCTTCCGGAAAATATGATCGGATATGTTGCGGTTTCAGTAAGTTTTGTTCAAACTGAGTTGATCTGGAAAGTTTTCCAAATTTTCGATGATAAATGTTGCTCTTTTTTTATTTAATGGATATTTTCTCAAAGATTCTATTTGAGAACAAGATTTACGCAACTGATTTATGTAATGCTGATTATTTCAGACAGTGAATGCTCTCAGTTATCTTAAGGAAGATTTAAGAATAATTCATCGGGGTTAGTTTTTGGGTCAGTTTAATTTCATATCTCTTCGAAATTTCGGAACATTGATTTTGCTGGTTGTGATTTATGTGGCTTTCAGATGTTAAGCCGTCCAACATTCTGCTGGATCGGAAAGGACATATAAAGCTATGTGATTTTGGTATAGCCGGTCACTTAATTGATTCCATTGCAAAAACTCAGGATGCAGGTTGTCGGCCATATATGGCAGTATGTTATTTTCTTTTCATAAACTTTGTTCGTTCTGTAATTTAATTAAACCTGTGGAAATTAAATAGAATTGAATCTTGATATTGTTGTTTAAGGATTTATTCATTTCGGTGCATTATAGCCGGAACGACTCCAATCGAATGAACCATATGATGTTCGATCTGACGTTTGGTCGTTGGGCATAACTCTAGTAAGTATATGATGCATGCATGCTTGTTTTTTAACTCATCATATTCCAATAAACTTGTAAAAAAAGTAAATTAATTGATTTGTTTAATTTAACAATGAAAGCGCAACAGTCTGTAGGTTTTACTTTCAGTTTGAAGTTTCAACAGGACGTTTTCCATTCTCAGCTTGGGATTCACCGTTTCAACAATTACAAGAAGTCGTTAACGGTGAACCTCCCATTATGCCACCTGGAATATATTCCGCGTGTTTAGTTACATTTATCAACCACTGGTAATTTTTATTTCTCTTTTATAAAAATTGAAGTCGTTGTTTAATCTGACATCTCACTGAAGAAAGCAGAAATCGTGTTATCAAAATGGGAATAGTTTTCAGAATTCATCCATCTTTTTTCACTAAAAATTTTTCATAAGTAGAATGTATCTAGTGAAGTATATTATCTTCAGCTTAATCAAGGGCAGGGACGAACGCCCCAAATACAATGTTCTAATGACCATGGATTTCTACAAAACATACAACGCGCAGGATGCAAATGGAGCTGCTCAAGCGCAGACAATTGTTGGAATATTTGTTTCTAAAGTTCTTGGGGATAGTAATACCAGTGAAAACGTCAACAATACGTACAAAGCACTTAGGTCTGACTGGGTGCATTTTTCCTGAATTTTTAAAAAATTTCATTTATAAGACATGATACTTTTTATAGTAATAAGACATCATTTGTAAGACATGATACTTTTTATAGTACGTTGTTGTTTTGTCCTCTTTCAACTTTAGTGGTTTTCTTTGCTAAGACAGTTTCTCTAAAACCGTTTATCTCGTGGAAATGTTTATCTGTTCCTACCTTTACCTTTATATCCTTGTGCTGACATAAGTTTTATTCTTAAATATAGTTAATTGTAAAAACTTTTCTGTATTCCAATCTTATTTTTTTTCAAATTCCGTTTTCAAATTAATTCGAACCTGATTTAAAGTGATAATTTTCATTACCTGTAGGTTTGTTTGTTGTAAATCATTTCGTCCCGTTTTTCATCCTTTTCAAATTAGGTTTTGATCTCACGAAATATCCATTGTGTGCAAATTATGAGATTTTCTAAGGAATTCAAAGTGATATGTGTTTTAGCAAGAATATCGTTTAAGTTGCTAGAGATTTAAATAGTATATGTTATTAGCTTGGATATTATTTATTTGTTTTTTTATTTATGTTTGGTTAATCACGAGTGATGAATTCTAGATGTTTTTTCCTGGATTTATAATTTAGTTTTATCCATTTTACTTTTCAATATTTTTCAGAATGTTGTTTTTCATGACTACACGTCAAAAATTTCATTAATTAATAATTAATAAGGTATTAACAAAATTATTGATCTGCTGTATAATGGATCAATTGCAACGTACGGAATAAATTTGTAAAGCAATCGGAGTATGTTTTTTTTTTTTTTTTAACAATCCAAAATATTTGATCAAAATTTAAAACAGCAATGTAAATTTCTGGTCAGTAAGCATGATGTTAATCCACTTCCTCTCACTTCTCTTAATCATCCAAAAATCCAAAGTTCATTTGTTTGAATTTTGTAATCATTCTATGGACTGTGAGTTATGGAACCACGATTCCCAAACTATACATCGAATATTTGTGGAATTTATTTTGGTAGCTTTGGAAAGTGTGATAATCTTCTATTCGTTTATATGTGATCCCTGTAGTTCCTATCTTCTTCTACATATTCCATCCTGTAAAATATGATTATTCAGAATTCGATAGTCATTTCAATTTAATGCAGAAGTATAAAGTTTGATTAATATTTGCACTGTAGAATATATGTTACATAACGCTGATTATGTTATAGCAAGAAATAGTTGACGAAATTTGGTAAATTATAGGAAATTTGGAAATGATATATTCGAATAATTCACAGTATCTTCAAACAAATGAATACCTCTGTTCAACATTCAAACGTTCCGTAGTTCGTGCAGCTTTTTCAAGTATTGTTTTCCGAATTTCATATTCACGCTTTCGAAGATTTTGCCTCTCTGAACGTTTTCTTTTATAAATTCTGCGTCGATGGAAGAAAATCATTGTTATTAGCAGAAACAAAAGCAAAAAGCTTGTAACTCCCATAATCCTTAATCGTAATCGGAACTGTAACGTTATCAGCTAATTTTTAGTATTAAACTGGAATTATTCAGATATGATTTTGAGAAGAAAATTAACTTTGAAATTAAATGAATAAATCAGTATGTATCATCATATAACTTTTAGTAGTACAGGATGATAGTACTTGTGTTTCTGCTTCTTGTCGTTGTTGTTTTGCTTTACTTTTCGAGATATCAATATTGCATTCTGGATATGGCCTAATTTTAGGTCCTTTTTGAGAACAACGATCACAGTGAGTTCCGGTGAATCGTGCCGGACAAACACATGATTCGCTTTTGTTGTTTATATCTGAATTTTTTCTCGGATGTCTTAAATTTTTAATTAATGTGGATTTTGTTGGAATTACTTTAGATTGATTTATTTTACCTTAATATTTCTTTTTATTTTATTTGTTCTTTGAAATCATTGCGGATATCTAATTTAAAATATTGAAGTTACATTTTCAAAATTTTGTTCTCAAGCTCGATGAAATATTTGTTTACCTGGATAACCATGTTGGCAAATGATATTATGACAATAATCGCCTTTCCAACCATCATTACACAAACACCTGGAATAAATTTAAATTTATCCTTAAATCTTTATAAGTTCAAAAAGAAGGAAGAAAAAAATGAAAAATGAAAACCTTCCATGTTTCCTTTTACCATGATCACATCTGCTGACATACTGACATTGTGAACCAAAAAAGTGTCCAATACAATGACAATGACCGTTTCTGAATTCACCACGATCGTTACACTGAATGATAACTTCCACTATCTCAAATTTCTCAGAGTATTTCATAGATATCGGTAAGATAATTAATAAAATAATTTCGGTTATTGAAGTACATTTATTAATTTTATTGACATTCCTACTTTAAGAAATGTTTTGCTAAAAAATAGCAAAAAAAAAGAAAATCAAAAATAATATTGTAACATTCAAAAGAGAAGATTTATGGCATAGTTTAGGAATAAAGATTGAAAAAAAAAAAAAAAAACTTATTTGTAACTTCGAACAGCGAAAGTTATTGCAAAGATATAAAAAGTAATCAGAAATATACAGAAATGGGGACAAAAATCGATAAAATTTTTTTTTAGTAAATAAATATCAGTGCAATAAAATTTATCAAATAAATATGACTGCCAATTGCAGCACTCAACGTATTAATAAATTATATTTTATCTTAAAATAGTTGAGCAATATTTTAGGGTAAGGGTAAGAAAAGTAGCTAAATCTAATACAATTGATTAAGGAAATATGGACATTTATTAAATTGTTAAAAAAAAAAAAGAAAAAATAAAATCCAAACAACAAATAACAATTTCTCTTAATTTCATTTACTAGAATTAATTGTTAATAATCAATTGATATAATAAAATAATGAGTTAAGCTGATGCGGGTTATAACATAATTTTATTTTACAGACTAAGCTTTGTGATGACTAATTTTATAATTTATTAAAGTAAATTCGTTAAACTTATTAATATTTATACTTTAGGTAATCTATGAAATGAAACAACGAAATTACTTATTAAAGAGATATCTTTTGATGACACATCATATCAATATAAATATATATAAATATTTTTGATGAAATTCAAAAAGAGAAATAGTAAATTAAAGAACATTAAAATAGAAAATAAATTCATTAAACATTAAAATAACTGGTAGTAAAAAAAATAATTTCATGCATTATTAATTATGAAATAATTTAAAAAAGTAACGTGAAAGAAAAAATTGCTTGCCTCATTTGTTTTCATTATATCGCATAAATCACCACTCCAATCTTCATCACAAATACATGGTTTATTAAAAAATAAGCTATCTGGATCATAACGAATTCCAACTGATATACCATGTGCTATAATAAATTATAAAGAAACTTTACTACCGAATAAAAAAGAAAAAAAATAAATTTGACAAAACAAAATTAGTATTTTTATTTTATTAAATTTTGCATGACTTAATGATTTATAATTTTTCAATGATTAAAACATTTCATGAAACAAAATAGAAAAAAAAACACACACATACACAAATTACTTTTATAAAAAGAATTAGTAATAATTTAATAAATTAAAAAAAAAAAAAAAAAGATATATATATATATACCGCAAGCAAAATCTAAACATCGTGTTCCAGTATACGGATAAAAACATACGCAACCACGTCCAATCATAATACCACCATTTCGACAATAAGCATTTATATCATCATTTGGTGAATGAAGTGATACTTCGCTTTAAAAAAAAAAAAAAAAAAAAGAAAAAGAAAAAAACGAAAAAAAAATGAAATAATTATATTTTTCTAATTTTTACAAATTCTTGCTAAATTATTAGAAAAAAAATTTTTTTCTTAACTTACCCAAAAAACTTGAAAGATGAAGTGGAAGTAATAGGAGTAAGCGTAGTACTAGAAGTAATAGTAGTAGTAATAGCAGTAGTAGTAGAAGTAGCAGTAATAGTAGTAGCAGCAATAATAGTAGTAGTGGTATTATTATTATCACTATTATTATTATTAGTAGTAGTATCACTTGCAGTAGTATTCCATTGTTGTTTTACTTTATCCTAAAAATTTTCAACACTAATAAAGAAAAATTCAAATTAAAATATTCCTTTTTTTGTTTTACTAGAAAAGTTAGGAAAAATATTTAAATTTTAAACAAATATAAAATTACATGTAATTTCACTTTTATGATTGATATTATTTTTTTGAAAAAATATGAAACTTCAAGGTTGCACTTTTTTTTTTACCTGTAAAACGTAAAATAGTTAGGTGCAATATTTTGGAAATTGTAAAAAAAAAAAAATTGAGTATTACTGTAGTTTGAGCTTGAATTCTAGCTTCCACATATAATAGAATGAAAAATTGCCACTGATACATATTTATAATTTTAACCTATAAAAACTAATTCCATTTAATTTCAAAATGATAAAATAGCTTTTAATTTAATCCAAATTAATTCATTTAACAAAAATTACTGTAGTGACTAATTTTAATCCAAATTAATTCATTTAACAAAAAAAAATTACTGTAGTGACTAATTTTCTAATTTGGCGACACATTTGGAGACACATTTCATTCATCGAACACTTTTACTTACCGTCACCATTTATCGCTCATTGGTGAAATAGGATTCAAGTTAAATTTCAAACATTCATCATTCCAATAACATCCCTTTCTATTCGATCACTTGTTTATTAATTGTGTTTTAAAATATTTTAAAAATAAGATATAAAAATTTTCAAAGTATTACAATAAATCGTACAAAAATTATTCCTACAAAACTAATATAAAATTTATTATTAACTGAAAATTTTAATTGAAAAAAAAGAAAAAAATAGTAAAATAACATGGAATAAAAAGAAAAAAATTGAGCTGAAATAAGAAAGTAATGAAATCAATATCAATTAAAATGTATAGTAAAAGAAATGTATGCAAAATAACATACTAGTAATGTTTCTAAACAAATAAATCAATCATCTATTAGAAAATAGATTCGCAGCCATTCCATTACAATCAAATCAAGATAATTATAGCAACACACATACTATTTCTCAAATTTTCACTTACTTTCTGCATTCCAAACAAATCGTCGAAAATATATAAACACCTCATCGATTACCTTTCTACCCGTCTTAACCAAGTTTAATTGAACTATCACAACTTGAATTGATGTACACAAGGATCATATTTTCATGGTTTAATTTTGTTTATGAAAATAACATAAATTGTTGGATTGAGAAATCAAATGTGTACATGTATATAATTACAAATTTTTTTGAAAAAAAAAAAGAAAATAAGGAAAAAGTGAAAAAAAAAAACTGCTTTATTATTGATGTTGTGCATTAAACCTTTTTCCTCCTTCTTTTTCTCCATTTTTGTCTATCTCTTTTCTTTTAGAGAATTAAATTTTTGATTTCTGCTATTGATTAATGATTTTCTTTTTATTTTCATTGTTTTAGACCAAAAATATCGATTTGATTCCGAGAGAACTAATGGATTTAATGATAAAATGACATTAATTAATTTGATAAATTCGACTTTTTAAGATGTTAAACTTATGTAAATTAAATTTCATTACATCTCAACTCATTTTTTTAGCCCTTCTAATTAACCACTATTTCCAATTTTTAATTGAAAATATTCCAGTTGTCAAAGTTGGCACGATTATAATTCGTTGTTTATCAAAGAAAGAAAAAATCTTTTTCTTTTCTTTTAGTTCAGTAGAAATGATAATATAATCCCAGTATATCATCTTTTTTTAAATTAATTTAAAATAATTAAAATAAATTTCAAAAATTTTTTTACTGCATGCAAAGATTACATTGATTTATGATATCGGAAAAAAAGGAAATTTATGGAATTTTTTATTGAAATAAACAAGAAATAATTTTTCTTTAAACATTATATAAATTTCAAATCAAGTATCAATAAAACCTTACAGGCGATCATTCATTTATTAGAAGCATCAATGAAAAATAAATAATACTGTGATAAATTTCATCAAAATTGTCAGTTAAAGAAAGTAATAAACGATGACAATCAACGAAGAGAACCATCTTCAAAGAAAATGCCACCATCATTAGCACAATATTTTGGACAAAGGCCTTTTTCACCAGCTGGACCAGCTTTGCCAGGTGGTCCTCGTTCACCCGGTTTTCCGTCTTTGCCTGGTTCACCATCTGCGCCAGGATTTCCTTTTGGTCCTTGTGGTCCAACGGGTCCATCCTTGCCTGGCTTTCCGGCTTTTCCTGGTGGTCCTTTCTCGCCCTGGTCACCTGGAAAAGAAATATTTGTACAAATACAATCTCTTTTGCATCGAATAATTAAGATGCCACATATTTACTGAAATTTGATGGCATCACAGTTAGCAACATATGTCAGAATCAGAAGAAAGTATTACCTTGAGGACCAGGTGCTCCTGGCTTAAGCGTTTCACTTGGTGCGTCCGTGCCTTGCTTACCAGGTTGTCCAGGTGGTCCCACTGGACCTTGTTCTCCTTCCTCACCTTGTACACCTTGTTCACCCACTGGACCATCGAATCCAGGGTCTCCAGCTGATCCTGGTGGTCCCATTTCTCCCATTGGTCCATCTTCACCAGGTTCACCTGGTTGCCCAACAGGACATGGCTTGCACGGTGGTGCGGTTATCGGTTCACATGGTTGGGGTGGTGGTCGTCCTGGATTTCCTGGACGTCCAGTTGCTCCAGGACGTCCTTGTTTACCTGGTTTTCCTTGTGGTCCTTCTGGACCTGGTGGACCCGGTTGACAACATTGGTCACAACTAGCACCACTAATTTCTGGTGAAGGTGCTTGCTGTGGAGTTTCGCCATAGCCAGCTTGACGAGCTGTTCGATTTAGTGTCTCGATTGGATTGTTTCGCAGTTGTCGTACTTCCATCCAGGTATCCTTTATAGAACTCTGAAATATATAATACTTTTTTAACTAAAATTTTCTTAAACTTCATTTTTTTTTTAAAGAAAAAAATTGAAAGTAGTTGCTACTCTTTAACAACTTTATAACTCTAAAATTATTTCAATTCTTTTACCATATATTTACCGCCGCAAACAAAAGGCATCTTTTTTTTTAAATTATGTTTTTTAGAATAGAAAAATAATTGAATGGGAAAACAATTTTAATATTTATATAATTAATATTTCCCTAATGAGCAATTCGCAACAGTGATTTTGTTCGATAAATAATTGTTGTTCGCAGCTTAAACAATTATGCTTATAATTAGTATTTAAATTACTTATACCAATAAGCATTTGTGCAAATGCATTTTCAAACTAATTCCACCAGATTGTTTGCTATAATTTCGAAATTAAAAAATACTTTCAGAATGCTTTCACTATTTTTAGGTTATAGTGACAAATTGTAATATAGTTTACATTTAATTCATATTAATTGTAATACCAACAAGGTTTTAATATTGATTATTTGAAGTGCTTGCTTAACTAATTAATTCAGTACACAGTCCTATTTGTTTTTATTAAACTAATCTCAGAAAATTTAATTTGAAAATTTTAACCGATTTCTAGTGAATTGCACGATTCATTGATTTGTGCAAAAAGATTTTCAGATTTCATGACACAAAGCTTCAACCCGATAAATGATGATTTAGAAAAATAAAATTGTTATTCCTATTAACTAAAAAATTTCGAACGAATTAGAAATTTCGATGTAATGAAATACGCTAATTTTATTTTGACATGAAATAAGCTTATAAGTATATTATTTCAATAAACAAAAATAAAAATTTTTATCATTTGTAAAAATAAGACTCGTCTTTTTCAACTTTTTATCTCTTTAAATTCAGTTTTCGATGAAAATTCATATGAGATATTTGTACTAAACAAAAATAATTCGACATATGGGAAATATTTAAAAAGTAAAAATTGACTAGAAAAAATGTAATTTAAAAAACTGACGCTGAAATTTAAATCAAATTTCGATACATTTTTTAATCTTATTTTCTTACTTATATGAATGATTTAATAAAGCAAAAGTTTTATTAATGCTTCGGAACTAATCAAATAAACAAATTAGACAAAAAAAAAAAAAAACAGAGAAGAGCAAGAGTAAAGAGAAATAAGTAAACCTTATAAGATAACATGAACTTACCTTACAAAATATAACATCACTATTCATTTTCTGTCGTACGTGATAGACGTAATTATAAACCATTGGTAATGTTATACATAATGATAAAATAGCCAAAAAAGAAAAAAAGAAAGCAAAATAGCCAATAAATTTATAAGCTTTGATACGATTCTTCAATTCCACCATTTTTAGCAGCTTGCTTTAGTGAATGAAATTTTGAAAATTTTTTCCTTTTGACAATAAAATAAAGTTGCATTAATTAATTGCCCTTTTATAATGACTAACAACTGATATTGAACATAGCATTAACTAGTTTTTATGAAAAATTGTGAACATAAGCTATTTGGGTAAATATCACTCATTCCATTTCATTCATTATGCTATTTGCTTCATCATTTCAACGAGATGAAAATGGGTAAAAATAAATGGAAGAGAGAGAGAGAGGTAGTACTGAAAAATGAATAAAGAAATTGCAAATGTTGCAACAATTTATTTATTATGCATATAGCAATGAAAGTAAATAAGAATTTATGAAATAAGGAAAGAGCAATATTGGAATGATAGCAATATATATATATATTTATTTGTTTATTTTGTTTTATATAAATTTAAATGAAATTTGAATATAGAACGTTCATTGTACAATTATTACAGTAGTTTGGATTTTATTTTCAATTTATAATGTTTTGAAAATTTGAATTAAGACTTTATCATTATTTTGTATTTTATTATTCGTTTCTTTTAAATTATCATTTTTTCCCATATTTCATTGCTTTATTTTATTTCTGTGACTTCATATTTTCTAAAAATAATTTTGAACATCACTAATTTTAATCATTTATGATTCGATACTTGTGATTTTTCAATTTTTTTCTTTCTTTTTTTTAGGATAAATAAGAGATCTCAAAAATATTTCATTTCAAAAATGCATAATTAATCAGACTATTCAAACTTCAAAATTTGTTATTTAATAAATATACAACAATAAGTTAATTTATTAATTAAACTTGAAATTTATAGATGATAATGTGGTAATTAATTTCAGATATAATTTGTTAATTATTAGCAGATTAATTTTGAGATAAATAGATGATTGATTAATTATATGTATTACATCTGAAACGCTTATATTTTCACTTTCAGTGTAAGACATTTCTCAGCTGTGTGTTGACAGTTTGATTATATTGAGAATCTCAAGAAAAATGATAACAAATTTCAAGTTTTCCGACCATACATGAAGAAGAAACCTGCATGCACACTGATAATATGGCATGTTTATTATGCTGGAGGGCTTCCAATGTTAAAGTATTTTATGCTGAAATTTCCAAAATTAATAATTATTGAATGTTTCTCAAGGTTTGACAAAAGCATAGAAGAAGAAAGTTCGCTTATTTCTTGTGCATTAGATGAGAAAAGAAAAGAAATGAGATGGGGTGTATATCCTAACCGGTTATCTATCATATATGTATATAAATATAAATAGATAAATTCATGTAAACTAACGAATTGTCGGGTAAATTTTTAACTGAATTTTTTTCCTCCATAATACATTTGAGAAACTATTAATTATTAACTTCATATTTGAATATATTGATTAAACAATGAAAAATAATAAAACATACAAGATTTTGAAAATAATATAAAATCTATGATCAGATATATATTAACTATCTGATAATAGCTATATATATATATATATATATATATATATATATATATATATATATATATATATATATATAAGAAATATTTAGATTGACAATACATTACTGCTTAAAAAAGCGAAATAGTGAAATTATTAACCAATCAAATAGCAAATAAATCATGAAAATAAAAGAAAAAAGTATTACCTGTTAAGAGATATTTAGAGTATTATAAAGAAAAAATGTTAATACATTACAACCAAAATTGCCTAATTTCATATTAAAATATGTTTGAACTACTATGTAAAGACAGAAATAATTGAATGATAGAAATCTACGAAAGTTTCATTTCAATTACAGTTGTCTTTTTTTTATTTTAAAAAATTTACGTTGCAAATAATTGATGGATATTAAGAATGAATGAATTATTAGGCATAATAATAAGAAATGAAATATTGCAAATCCTAAATAACTTTGTATATATATTTATGTACGAATTTACGACACTTACATAAATATATATTATATATTTTTTATTTTATATAAATTTAAATAAAATTTGAATATAAACCATTAATTATATAATTACCACAGTACTTTAGATTTAATTTGTCAATGTTTTGAAATTTTGAATCAAAACTTTATTATTTTGCATTTTATCATTCTTTTTTTTTTTTTTTTAAATTAACAATTTTTTCTCATATTTTATTGTTTTATTTCATTTTTGTGACTTTACATTTCTTTAAAATAATTTTACACTTCACTAATTTAAATCATTTATGATACGATATTTGTGATTTTTCAATTATATATATATATATATATATATATATATATATATATATATATATATATATATATATATATATATATATATATATTTGTACGAATTTATCATCAAACTAATGCTACAAGCTGAAAAAGTTCGTTAAAATAAACTTCTGATTCTTTTCTTTCTTTTTCCGTCCCAGTCATTTATACCGTTTATTAATCAAATAATTTTATTGTTGAAGAATAAAACAATATGGTTGAAATATTTCATTCAAATGGGTCACATATGGTTAAAGAACAAATGATAGAAATTTTAATTTCTGTTACAATACTTTTATTTTTACAACAGTTACAATGTTTACAAAAAAAAAAAAAAAAAAAAAAAAGAAGATTCACTGTTTTGGAACTGAGGAAAATTCCACCACTGATTTTCTCGTAACAGTTATGGTTACTTAAAATAAGCCAAATATATTCTTATAATTTGTTTAGGAATATTTCTGACATAGAAAAAGTAAGAAATTAATGTCAAGGTAACCGTATATTTGTTGAAAAGTATTATCACAAGTTATTCATAAAGTTTTCATAACAAATAAGCTAAGCAAGCGACGTTAGAAATAAAATCTTAATATGCAAAAGAAAAAAAAAAAAACAAGTTTCATTGTGTAATTCAAAAATTTGTCGAAAAAGTTTGTTTGGAATTACTTTACTTTATACAATATAATAACAAAATGAATTAAAAGACTAGCATAAACAAATTGATACTAAAAGATTGCTATCTACATATGAAATTTATATAGTTGGATGATCACCAATACAATTGATTTCTATGTTGCAAAATTACCTTTTAATTTGCTAAATGTAAATTATAATTTTAAAAGTGACAATCAAATTTAAATTTTTGTTAAATAATATACGATAAAGTTGACATAATGCAAGTTGTACATTCTACCAAAGCTAAATGTAATCAATTTATAAATTCAAATTAATTCATAAAATGCAAACTTAATAAATTCTAAGTTTTTTGTTAAATAATAGAATTGATGCCTCAGACACTGGTATTAAGACCCAAAAGTTGGGTATGATCACTTCCATTTTGTTCACCGATAATCCTAGAATGCACTGGTACTGGTGGCGTTGATGATGTCGACTGTGGCCCAGCTGGAACTGTCCTGAAAAATAATTTAGCTATATCATTAATCATCTTCTTCACTGAAAAGTAAAATCTGAATTATTCAAAGAAAAAAAAAAAAAAAAACTACTTGTTATTCCGTATGACAGTTGTCTTAACTGGACTCGATGGTCTCCTGGACAAATTTGGTACCGATTCATGATACTGCTCAGGATACGGTGCAATAGCATCGACAGCACGGTACTGTCCGTTTGTTTCACCGCGATAACCACCACTACCATCAACTACGATCGGAACAGTACCACCAATTGGTCCTCCACGATACTGCGAGTCGTGCTCGTTACCATGGTACATACCATTTGTTTCGCTTGACATCGAATCTGTTCGTGCTTTTGTGAATGGCCTAGTTTCCGAAGACTGTAATTAGCCAGTCTATCACATCAATAGCCTAGTTTGCGTAGACTATAAATTGCTAATCTATAATATCAAAAGAAAGGAAGAAATATTTTCTCAAAATTTCTGCTAAGAAATGATTTTTTGTAAATTAAAACGTTGTACTACAGAAATATGGTAGATTATCAAATTATTCTACTTTTTCTATCTATTAGCCTAGAAATTAAATGATAATAAGTACTCAAAAATTATCCCATTTGCATCTTCTAAAATATTCTGTGCTTTCCGAACCAACAATCATCTCATTATTATCACATTTTATGATTAACTTTCCAACTTTGATTTATAGTTAACTTTTATTTAAGACAAATTATGATGGAACAGTCAGTGAAAACATTTACCCTCCAATCACGGCTTACCATGGAACCTCGAATTGGTACTTTGTATAGCGACGAAATTTTCTCCTCCGCTTGATGTCTCCTTTTCTGTTTCAAAGTCCAACAACACAAAAATATAAAGACAATTGCCTAAAGTTTTCATTTCAAATCATTCTTCGACATTTTAAGTAGATGATTCTTGGCATTTCCGATATAGAAATCTCTTTTTACTTCTCTCTAAGCATAGGTCGTAAACTTTCTCCAGAACTGCTCACCGTATGAGCTAATATCTGAATTCAAATCAGTGATTCAAAATTTTCATTTCACTTTCAAAACATACCATAATTATACCAATGGTTGAAAATATTCCAGTAAGCCATTTGAATAAATTGTCTTTTTCACGCGAACGACACCATGGTTGTGATCCTTTGTTCCATTCAAATCGATAACTATGCGGATCGTTGTAGTCTACAACAATACCGCCTGTAATATACTCAAATTTAATAATTATTCAGGTGGTAAGAAAATAATAGAATTTGACATTTAAATTTCTGAACAATATTTTAATAACTGTAAGCAACTTTACATTTGTATTCATAATCGCCTTTAATCCAATGTGTTTGAAAGCAATCAAAGCGTGCCACATCACCTTCCAGATAACCGGATGATAGCACCGGTGTTTTCATCAAATATTCTGGATATTCTATCATAATCGGTCCACAACTATTATCTACAATGAAATGAATTAATTTAATTATTTTAAATTATTGGAAAAGAAATTAACATTTTGAAAGGTTAGTTTTATTTTGAATAGAAAGCTATGAAAATATACAATGAGTGAAGTTCATGATATACTTACAATGTCTTGAAGCATGCATTCTATCATTTGAAAATGAATTCCAATTGTTTTGTGCTTCCATTCCAAGCAATCGAGCATTAAATAACATATAATCATTAAGGCATGACACAGAATCACCACATTCTTGAATTATTTGGCTGGGATTATCCGGACAATAATCAATACCGTATTGTTGCTCGTATAAATTTTGTAGTGGTTGCCAATTTGCTAGAAAATTGGAAACTTTTTGCTGAATTAAAGAAAGTTATTTTTCAAAACGAATAAAAGAAAAAAAAAACGAAACAAAAAGACTTACTTCGATCACTAAGCTGAAGATCACGACATGTTTGCAATCGTTGGCTAAGCATTTGGCCTGTCATTGGTACAAAACGATATCTACCACTGAAATACGATTTATTCGTAAAATTAATTTATAATATGTGAATGTTTTAAAATAAATTGGGTCAATTACTTATAGAACTCAAGAACTGAAGAAGTATTAGATGAGGTGTTGACAAAAAATCGAAGTAATTTTTCAAATAAAATATCTAAAAACAGGTTTGAACAAGCACATTATATTTTTTAGCATCATTAATTGATATGTTAATAATGAGGAATGAATTTGCAACATTTACAACATTTCATGAATCTCTTAAACCACTACACATTATAACATTTCTATTAGAATTAAATACAAATATAAAAAAAATCAATTAAGTGAATAAAGTATAGTGAATAAACAAACATACGTTTCATATTCTGCAGAAGTTTTATATATGGGTTCACTTTTTATGTAAACTTCAGGAAATACTTCGAATTTCTTATCAATATCCTGACTAGTCGTGAACATATTATCGGTTGGTATATTCTGATTTAATGTACCCATCGTTTGTCTGGAATCACCGGTACCCGGAATAAGATCTGCAATTAAGAATTAACAAGAATATCCTATTTAACATTATTTGGTACTTACTTCGAAGTAAAGATAACAATAAGTGAGTAACATATAAACATATATGGGATATATTTTCCGGAATCTTGTAAGTTGCACTTAAATGTTGAATAACCAAAATGAGCTCAGTGATTTAAAAAAAGTAGTTCGATAAGTTTTTATTGAAAATTTATTTGGTAAAACAGTTTTATATCAGACAGCACTGTTACATTCCCTTATGCTCAGTGTAAAATCTGTACAATCACTAGATAAATTTTTCATTGATTTCTAAAAGCTAGAAAAAACCTGAGTAAAAAATAATTTCCAACAAAAATTCTGAAAACTGCAGATCTCGAGAAGTAAATGCACATAAGGTAATCTCTATTGTAATATTTATTAGGTCTTTTGAAATTCCAAATTTAAATGTAACACTCACAATTTGAAATAATTTGCTGACGGATTCCTTCTGCATTAACATCACTCAAGCTTAGACCAGATAAATAGGAAGCAGACGTTTGATCTGGAAATGGTCGCATAAGACCGGATACACGAGGAAAATTATATCGTGTACGCATATCTTGCTCTCGAGCCTTATCACCGTCAGGACGCTACAAACAATAAATTTTGGATTTGACTATCATTAGAAAAAAATGCACATTTAATTTCTTGAAGTTTAACATCAATAATTTGTGCATTTCTGAAATCACACAGGAAAATTTTGAAAACTTACCACACCGTACTGTGGAGGTACACTAAGTTCAATATCAAGTAAACCCATACTTTCTTGATACATTGATAAACGATCAATGTCAAGATTATATGATTCACGAATACGAATTCCTATTTGTGCTTCTTCCAGAACGACATAAATTTCCGGTTGACCTCGTTCTACATTGTTCACATAAACCATTACTCCTTAAAGCAAGTTTCAGGATGATATTATTTATGACTGCTCAGGAAGAAATAGAAATGAAATATGATGATGCATTTTGAAATCATAATGAAATAAGGTGAATTTATTTAATTACAATTTAATTCTACCTGCCTAATCCAAACGCTCAGCATTATTTAAAGTAGAATATGTTAATTTCTATGTCAGGTAATCATACTTACCTCTGAATCGCTGAATTCTCATCACATCAAAATAGCGGAGTATATTGCCAACAATAATGCTTGTACGATACCGGAAACGTCGGGTATCTTTACGAGCAACCACATGCACTCGATCGGTTCCGGTTGCTTCGATTGCTATTCCAGTAATAACAGTTGCATTCGTAGGTTGCACTAAATTTGCTTGTCCTATTTGACGTCCAAGTAAGCCTACAATAGTATCATTAATCTTTGGCCCAAGTAAATAAATAAACAAAGATAAGCAAATATGAATTAGCTAATCTAGTATAAAAAAGGCAATTAAATTCATTGAATGAAAAAATTTTTAAATATATGGTTGATAGGAAATTCAAAAAGCTTACTGAAATCAACTCTACGATCTGGATAGCGCTCCAGTCGCACTTGAATTCGTACTTCTGGTGTTGTAACAGTTTTTGGGATATACAAAAATGTGAACACTCCTGGTTCATTGAAGATGAATTTGTCATTATCAATAGTATTGAAGCTTACTGCTCCAAGTGCTTCACCTTAAAATTGATAAATATAAAATTCATTTAACTCAGTAACCTAATTAAAAATTTTTATTTGCTGAAAAAAAGTATGGTTATTCGAATAATTTGATAGCAATTAACAAATATACCACAACAACCTCGTATTACAGCTAATTAACTATTGCAATAAATATGCAGTCGAAAAGATGGAAACGAATGATAGATGTTACTTAAAATAGTTAAACTCCAGAATATTTGACATAAAGCATAAAACTGCTATAGTTTACTGGGAAATAACAGATGCATACCGACAGCTGGAGGCTGATATTGTTGGCATCCGCTACTTGGCCGCCTCCAGTAAAATAGTTGACAACGAAATTTTGCATATTTACAGCAAAAGAAGTACGGCATATAATCGTGATAAAATACGGAAAGACCTGGCACCTGAACCAAACATGAGAGAAAAAATACGACAATGTTTAGATGAGGAAAATATTATATTAAGCTAAGTAAGCACTACTACAGAATGTTATCGGTAAACTATAATTGAAGATTTTTGAAAAATCATCAATGACATAAAGAAAATAAATTAATGATTTGCAAAAAAAAAATTGCTTTAAAAATTTAAATAATTAAATGAAATGAAACTTTTTGAAAATTTTGCCTCAAACTGTCCAATATATGGATCAGTTCCAAATTCGTAAGCACGTAATGGATATCCAGGATTGTACGGTGTGTCATCGGTTACTTTTATCACCGGTTGATAAGATGTTTGCATTAATTTGCCCTCTTCATCGTAACAGCATACTTGCCCATAATGCGTTTGAAAACGCCTATAACGCTAATTTCATAAAGCAAATTAATAACAAATAATCAGTGGGATTTTTTTAAAACATTGCTTTAGCTAATATTATTTTAAATAAATTCAAAATTACTTCAGTCACTTTAGTTCCTCAAATTAAATTAACTAAAAAATTTATAAATTCTCATGAAAATTTACGCTGTTTTTTCGCTTTCATATCCCGAACCTTCACCAGCATATGAACCATAAATATTTTGAGCACTCATATAGCAATTTTTTGCACCAATCATCGTTTGACAAGTAATGTCACGAAATATCTAAAGCATTAAAAATTCTCTTCATAAATAATTTTCTTTTCTTCTCTCTCTCTCTCTATCCTAATTTTTGAATATATAAGATATATTAAGTATGAAATTTCGAACAATTAAATTTGTTCCCGTTTTTTGATTTCATTATTATTGAAATAGTTTTTTTTTTCTCTCACTGCCATCTAATCAATATATGGGAGCTTACTTCCTTAGATATCTGAGCTAACTTCTTTTGCGTATAGATCACGTACACCCGTGTAAGTATAGTTGTAGTAAAGTAGTTTGGTACCCTTTCATAGGATGCTGGGTAGCATAAATGTAGCTCTACTGAGTTTACTTGTTTTTAGTAACAGTCAAATTTTCTATTCGTAATCGATAAAACTTATATTTATTTTTATTAATTTATACTTATACTATTAGTTTAACCTGAGAGCAACGAGGATGTGGCATAAAACGACCAATATCCACACGTGCTTGACTTTCCACGCATGGACACGATGCGTTAGTTTCTGTATCACGAATAAAATTATACTGCGCTCCATCTTCTGCGAACCTAAATTTTGAAAATATGAGAACAAAGAAAAAAAAAAAGAGAAAAAAAAATGAATAAATAAAATATTATAAAAATAAGCACACCATTTTAATGTTTTGTTTTTGAATGAGAAAAAAACAAACAAACAAAAACAAATGTAAAACGTACCAGTCATGGCATATTTCAGTTGCTTTAGTTGAAACGAAATGCATTCTACTTTCTGCATCTTGTTGTGAATAGGTTGATGATACGAATTGTGGGTTATTAATGGTCCATAACCAATGAATTGATATTGGTGGTGAAACTAATCTGTAAACGATTTATCATTATTTAAGAGTTAGCAATATATATATATATATATATATATATATATATATATATAACATTTTTCGTTAAAAAATGTTTCAAAATAATAATTAAACATTTCTGAGTTGCAAGAATTAACTTTATAGGGATTAAATTTAAATTAAAATGTTTTATTGGTCAATATATATTCGCCGGTATTTGATGAAAGGGAGAAGAAAAAAGTAAATAACCCAGAAGGTAAATGAGTTAAATGTTGTGAAGTATCTTCATTGGCAGTAACTGGTGCTAATTTTAGATAACCAAAGCGATATGAATAGAGCGTATTTGTTCGTTCCCAGTCTGTCAAATACCATTTTTCAACCTAAAATATAATTATCAAAATGTTATTTTTCAATTAGGCAACCTAATCTAATAATCTATTCTGAAACGCTCTGTTATTCTGAAATCTAATAATATCTGTTACTAGAAATTCAGGAAATTTTCAATTCACTTTAAGATTTCGAAAATGTCCAGTATATTTATTATTAGAAATTATTATTAAAATACAATTTTTTTCCCACACCTGATATAAATTAATTTTTTCTTCTTGTGGTTTCCAGCGATAATCAGGTGAATTTCGATTAGTATATGTTGCTAATCGGCACAAAACTCGATGTTCCGGACGGAATTTCTTAATCTAAAATGAACAATTTATTTGTTGCAAGAAAATTTCCAGTTATTTTATTAATTATGTATAGAAATCACCTGATCATCAGCCGCTTCTCTGTAGCCTATGACATATAAGCCAAGTTGTACAGAGTATAATTGATTGTCGCTTATTCGTATGTTGTAATCTTTGTAGTCAAGATCTGGATTTGTAAAATTTCTCGGATACCATGTTATTGGTATTACCTAAAATTTAATTGTAATATTTAAACAATAATTAGTTATAAATCAGATTTTTATTTTTACAGCTCTGCAATATGTAATTTATTTAAATTAAAATAAAATTCTTACAGTTTTTAATATCGGATTTCTAAACCATTCATATACATTGCCGATATCTAGACGCATTGGATCTAACGTTGGTGGCACTTAAAACAATGAATATCATTATACAATATATTTCATACAATTGATACAATTAAGATTACATGATTGATTAATTATGAAATTAATAATTGGTTAAAACATGGAAGATGAAATAAATTTTATTCTAAAAGTTGAAACAAAAAAAAAATATTAGACATTATGGAAAAATTTTGAAAGTATCATTATGTTTTATACGTGAAATTTTTTGAATTTTAAATCGTTTCATTGATAACTGACCAAAATAGATGTATCCGACGAATGCTTTATCTTCTTGATGAGATCCGGACTGTGGTTGAAAATAAACTGTTTTCGTGCCCCAATCATAAATTTTCGGAAGATGACAGCGAGCAATAGCTGAATTAATCACGGTGCATGACGCTGTTTGGCGTTGTTCAATCATCAAAACGTACGTCTGGCTACGATCCAAGCATAATGCATTCACATCTACACTTGTCTCACCCAACATATTGGCTATATTTGGATAAATTAACATCGGATCTGAAAAAGATTTTTTTTTTTTTTTTTGAATAATTTTAGCTGTGACAAATTTGGAGGGAAGAGAGAGATAAAAAAAAAACGAAAAAAAACTTTGGAAGAATCATTTTAAATAGTTCTAACTTGATTATTTGCAATTGCTAAAGTAAATTAATTTATGAAAATTTAATTTCAAAAAATTCCAACAAATATATGCTTTGTTAAAAGTAATATATATTAACAATAATTCAAAATGTACATTTATAAGATTACACTTTTACGCAGTTAAAATGTTTCACACAACTGCGTACGTAAACAGTATTACATTAATTTTTCACACATAAATGATTTTACTTTATCATTAGTAAACTTTTACGTTCAATTTGATCTATTAGCAAGAATTAAATGTACAATTAGTAAAGAAAAAATTTATTTCAATTTTTTCTTCTTTCTCTACAAAATTCAATATATTCATGAATATGATTATAGGTCACTTTAAAACTCCAAAACTCAATTCACGTCTTAAATTTCAAAATTTCATTAAAACTTACATGTACCACCAGTTTTATTCGAGCATCCAGCCGGTCGAACAACGTCATCGACACGAAACATGTACCGTCCACGAACCATATGTGGTACACCGGAACGTTGTGCCAATATTGTTGGTGTATTTTTGTACATGAAAGTTGGATCTACCGGTACGCTACCAGTATGATTACCACCATTGAAAAGTGCCTAAATTGGCAAGAAAATATGACGACTAGCAAAATTTACACTTTTTAAATTGATTAAAAGTTTGGACAAATAACTCACTTGACAACGACCACTTCTAGAGTTCATCCGGAAATCAGCAGCATCAAATCCAAGTTTGTCGTAATTCAAAATAACATAACTTAATCGACCAGGCTAGAAAAAAAATTCGTCTCTAAAATTTTAATTTTGTTAAAATAGAAAAAGGGACAAATTTTGTCTTTTTTTTGATATTTGATCGAATCTAATTGCATTCGGTCAAATCGTTTTTTAGAATAATTATAACATTTTCAGGAAAATTAGCCTCAAAATGATTGCATTTTTTGTTATCATTATAAAGTATGGGTGAGCTTTAACTTTTTTTTTAGTTATTTATGCTTACCTGATCAGTCAACCAAATTGCCTGGTAAGTAGATAACTGACCAGCATCAATATCAGAACGACCAACAATAGCGGATGCTGTATTGTACCAGGTAACTACAAATGCTGCATCTGCACGAAATGCTGCTGCACCAGCAACTCCTTCTATAAAATTTCACTTATATTTTTTATGTTAAAATTTCAAATCACTTTTATTCATTATATTAGATTATAATTTAATAAACCTTGAAGCCATCGCATCATTTGGTCGAGGAAATAATCACTGTTTTGATCGCAATGCACATATGAATCAGATGTACTTGGACAAGCCTGCAATTTTCACAACAATTTTAAAAAATTTCAATTCCAAAAAATTTTTTTTAAACATTAGTAATAAATTAGAGCAAACAAACTTGACTAGCTGGTTGCCTAAAGAAACTTGACTGTTCCATGGTACCACCAAATGGTATGTTAATATTACTACCACGGCCAAATAATGATTGTCGTAGCATCAAACGATAATAAACACCAGTTTTCAGTCCTGGACTTGGATTTTGTACTATCTGTAACAATAATTTCAGATTAAAACTACTAAAAATTGTTAAAGTTTAGATTGAATTATTGATTATAATGCTATCAAATTAACAAACATTTATTTAATTTCCGTTAACATCAAATATATTATTTCATGTTTTAAGTAAATTTGAAAACCTGTTGTTTGCATAAATATGGTGCAATCATTGCCGGGTCCTGTTGTTGTGGCCAATTGGTTGATTCTACACCAACGTTTATTGTTGGACCTTGATCTAACACAGTTGCAAATGCAATGTATCCATTTACCGAAAGCTTCAATTTGTATTATATTATGTTTGTACTAATCCAATATATTTATCAGAAGATATAAACATTAGAAAAAAATTTTTGTGAAATTTTTCTGAAAAAAAACTGCAAAATTTTAAGTTTCAATCTTCAAAAAAAAAAAAAAAAAAGCTAACTAGCACATACCACTGAATAGTTATATAAACCACCATAGAATGGGAAAAACATGTGCAAATTAATTGTTTGTCCAGAAGTAAGCATTCCTGGATGTACTTTCTGATCACCTGCTTCAGGTCCGAATGGTACTAAGTTTACTGAAATATGAAAAGTATTATGAATTATTTATCGCTAATCTTGATTCGAAACAACTTAAAAATTTTTAATTAACAAAACTTAGTGATCAAATTTTATACATTTTTAGTTACATATCATATCTGATGTAATTAACATACCATGTGCTGAAATGCTATCACGACCGGTGAAAATTTTAGCACCTTCTTGTCCTGGATTAAGATTTTCTTGGTTTGTTGATGGTACTGGATTTTGCTGAGGTATTTGTTGAGCAGAACTAAGTAATGATAGACATTTTATAACTATAACAAATAAAAAAATTGTTGATAGTATCATATTAAGTTTCCCAGAATTTTGTAATTTTTCGAGTATAAGACAAATAGATCTTTGCTTAATTCTTCTGGAATCTGAAAAAAATTGCATATATTGTTAGTACATATTGAAATATTCTTGAAATAAGTACGAACTGACAATTTCAATGCTTGTTTTATTAAACTATAACTAAAATTATCGTATATTTCGAATTTAATTGCAAATTTTTCGAAATCATAGGTAAAAATAAGGCGTTCACTTTATATTTCCTTGAATTTTTAATGCATCAAATTTTATGATAGAAATTTTAAAATCACCATCAATGTTGAGAAATTGGTAAGTGCAAAGTGTCTTTTAATAAGATGAGATGAAACTGATAGAGAAAACGGAAGCGATGAAATGAATCATGAATGGTAAGTAGTATTAAAATGCAGCTGAAGAAATCAACTTTATGCCAAAATATTTCTTTCAGAAGTAACTTGAGAATTTAAAAATTTTTAAGCTAATGTTCAATATCATTGCCATTTTTTGAAAGAGCAAAGTTCACGGATTAATTATTGTTCAAATCAAATTACCGATACAAAATGATGAGTCATATAACCAATGTGTAACATGTTTACTTAAGCAGAAATAACAAACAAAAAGAAGATATTTGAAGTTTAACGATCCACAATTTTGCAAACAAATAGAAATGTTTTTTTGGCAAAAAATCGGTAAAATGAATTTATGTTAAAAACATTAACATATTTATTAATTTATGAGAAGAAAAAAGGAAGAAAGAAAAAACGAGACAAATAGTTAACGGTATTGTTTTTCTTAATTGTAACTAACTTTAAGATTAAAAAATATATATATATATGTTTTATGAATCATTTTTCAATAAATTAAAATTAGTACAGATTATTAGGGAGAAAAAGGAGAACGAAAAGAAAAAAAAGATATTGAAAAGTGAAGAAATATAAATTTTACTAACACTTGATGTTTGAAAGGCTAACATATCAAATGAATATACAAATAGATGGACAGATACAAATACACCATTCCATCACTGATAACAATGTTGATTGCAATTAACCGCTTCGTTTATTAACAAAATTGCTTCTCATTCATTTCTTCAATGCTCATTATCTTCTCTATAGCAAAAATGATAAAAATGAAAAAAAAAAAAAAAAAAAAAAAAAACGAATTAAATTAATCAAGTTTTCATATATTCTTCTTTTTTAATTATTAAAATATTAGATATTAACATAGGACAATAACAGCAAGCAAATGAAATATGAAGAAAAAATCCCTTTTTTTTAAAATTTTGATTAACTTTTAAAGTTTAATTTATTATAGTTTATTACATATATATAATATATAATTTATTATATATAAAAAGCAACAATAGCAAAGAAAAAAGGAAAACAAATAGATTAACAAGAAATAAATGGTATATAATTTTGTGAAAAAAAAAGAAAAGAAAACATTATAATATGGATAAATATGATCAAACAAAATTTCTCCCATCATTTGAATCAGAATTTAAGCATTCAATTGATGTTCACCAAAATGTATGCTATTTTCTATTATGTTTGATATGAATAGTGGTGAAAATGTTGTTTGAAACGTTCCTGAAATACCATAGTAAAAGTGTATTTGATCAATAGATGAGAAATAATCAATCATTCGCGCCTGGCTTCTTCATTTATTCGTCATTTATTTAATGAAATATTTATTAAGTATGAATAAATATGATAAGTGCATTTTCTGTTTTTGTTTTGTTCAGTAGTTGTAACTTAATCTAATCAATAAATAATATTAATTATTGATATTATTGATTATTATTACTGTTATTATCATTATTATTATTAGACTTTATGAATTATTCTGTCGTTTATTTATGAATCCATTTGTTGTAATGTGTTTATTTGTGTACAATTTTTATATTATACTCCATTTTTTTTTCGAATTACTTCATATACATCATTTAAAAAAAATCAATTTTCACCATAATTGTCAAAAATTGACTATTTGGCTCATATTTATTCATCACAGTTACTTTTAATATTATACTTTTCCATCTTTTTTGACATCTCTTTGTTCTCTCTCTCCCTCTTTCTCTTCCTTCTGCCATCCTCTCACTTCACTTTTTTTTCAAAAATATCTGTTCTGCGAAACAATTTACAGCACACATATATTATCGGTGACAGAAATTCAACAGAACGGAATTAATAATTCCTGAAAGTGAAAATTGGAAATGAAACAAATTTAATTTGTTGTAAGTGCGGCAAAATTTTTAAATTTAAAATTAAACCAGTTGAATTTGTAGTGGTAGTAATAGAATGAAACAAGTCAATGTGTATATTAAGCAATATATTTACACAAGCGCTCACAACATTATGGAATTTCAGTCAGCAAAATGCAGAAATATCGACAAATACACTAAAGTAAGAGAAATTTCATTTAAAGATTATGCAGGTAATATTAGCCGATGCATTCTTTCTCCTCTATGTCTTCTCTGATCAAATTTTTTCACTAAATTTAAAATTTTTGAGAGGATTATTGAAGTTTAAAAGTGGAAGAAATAAAACAGAAAGAGAGGAGAGAGAAAGAAAAAAACGACAAACAAAATAAATAATTAAGTATTAGATTAATAGTTAAAAGTAAATTCAAAGTAATCAGCAATAAAAAAAAATGCTAAATTCTAACAGAAATTAAAATTTAGATATGAATTTTCAAAACGTTTTTACTAATTTTATACCTTTCTGGATGAAGAAAAGAAAGAAAGAAAATATTTTCAAAGTTTGAACATTACAATTCTTATTTTAATTCGTTAAATTTCTTCTGGAAAAATAACGATTTTTTTTTCTGTTATGTTTTAAATACGAGAAATAATAAGATGATAGGTTAAATTGATCAATAACAAAAAGCTAATAGTACATAATATCCCATTTCAATGAAAATTAAAATTAGAAAACTTTTTATTTTTAAAATTATTTCTTCAAATTTGAATCTTTTTTTAAAAAAAAGGAAATTCGCTAGTTGGAAATTAACGCATATACATAATTAACTTTAAATTTTATTCCACATATTTCAGATAAAAATTAAAATCAAAATGCAAAAAAATAAATAATATGTTTAAAATACAATGAATCAATAATGATTTAAGCTAGCTACCTGCTTACTTCCTTCTCTACCGCTTTGCAAATTATTTGTCGAAGGAACTGAAGTGGTTTGTATGTTTGCGATTATTTCTATATGTCCGCCTTGCTATTTCGAAGGAATACAAGTTGCCCACCCAAATGCACACTTTATAAATGAACTGGGTAACATTCTTCAATTTGACTCAAAATTTCAGGTACTATAAGCATAATTAAATCAATAATTCATTCTGATCTATTCAAATGTTTTATTATTATTTTTGCTTAATTTATGAACAAATTATATGATTATATTAATGAAAATACAAATGTAAGTGTACTAATTATACCTATGTATATAATGTATAGTAATTAAGTATTTGTAAAATTAAGCGCTACTTATTTCAATAGACGAATTATTTGATTGAATAATCATTCAACAACTCATTCCATTATGAAATTATTTTTAGCTGCATCATTTGCTAATATTACAAAAGAAAAAAATGATTAGTAAGCAAATGATAATAAGAGAGTAAAAATTTACCTTATGCAAATAAAAGATTATTATGATTATAAATGAATATTTTTTTTTTGGATTAAAAATTGTTGTTGTAATAATGGATACAAATAATTATTCTAACTAATCAATTTGCAGTAGTTTAGATGATTTCATGATGAAAACAAAGTTTTTTTTCTTAATAGAAAAGATGAAATTAGTTAATTAGGATAAATTCTAAGAAAATACTATTAAATCAAATAAATTCTTCGTTTTTTTTTTTTTGATATTACAATCGATAAGTGATTTAAATCAAAACCATATTAGAAAAAAATAAAAGTGAATCTGAAAATTTAAATTTTAAAAAAGGTGAGAACTATCTCTAAATGGAATAAAATTATTATGGATGCTGATATTTATTGATGCCTGTAGGAAGCATATGATTCATCAGTGTGTAAATATCACTTCTTACATTTTCATGATAAAGAAATGCTGAAGTAATCACTCTTCTTTCTCGTCGTACTTCTTTTTCTCTCCTATTCTTTTATTGTATAAATTTTTGTACAATTTTTTACTAAAAAGAAAATTTATAAAATTAGATCAAAAATTCCCTTTTTTAAATCAATTTTTAATAATTTTTCTTGATTGCATTTGCTTCGAATTTTTTGTAATAATTTAAAAGTTAAAAGTAGCACAAAAAGATTATTAGTATATCGAAAAGCTAAAAAAACAAAAGTACTTACATTCCTGTTATTTTTACTGAATTTTAATTTAAATGGAATAAATCATTATTGAATATATTTGCAAATAGGTAAAACTAATTTAATTAATTTCGGAACTTTTGATTGCAACCAAAAATAATGAATTAATCAAATAATTAGCAAACTCTTTTTTTAGGGTTTTTTATTGCTAATTATTATCACAGCATATCATTGTTATCGGCTATTAAAAAATCGGTATAATATATAATTTATTATAATATTTGCAAATATTTGAAATCTTTACAACGACAAACAGATTAATATAATTAAATTAAAAAAAAACTTGCTGAAAATGTTGAAAATAACTAGTATTCTATCGATAGTATTAATTACTAAATTTAATGACTGAAAGAGTTTGACAATACAATCATTTTTTTTTTTTGTCAACAATAAGTATTTTTTAATATAAATAAAATACAAGTTTGCTTTGCTTGAAGTAAAGGTATGCTAGCAAAAAAAAAGTCAAGTAAAATCCTAAAAAATCTAGAATTAATTAAAGTCAGAAATGATTTTAATTTAGCTTCTAACTTATTTCACTTCCTTTTCTTTCTTTCCATTATTTTTCCTTTTTTCTAGACTAAAAAATTAAAATATATATATATATATATATATATATATATATATATATATTAATAATAAAAATACACCAACCATTAGTTAAATGGTATAAACAAATGATAAAAAAAAACTAAAAATAAAACAAACAAAAAAAATGGACAAAATACAAATAAATGCTGTTTTAAAACTGAATTTATCGATTTTAGTAAACAAAACAAACAATATATTTAATAGTGAAATGAATGGATAAAAAAAGATTTAGTATTTGTTAAATACGCAATATCGAAATAATATTGTTTCCAAAACTGTTCAGTACGATAAGAGTAATACTAACAGAATATTATTATTGTTGTTATTTTGTATCACTTCAAATTGTATTCATTAAAATTGATCTAACGATTAGATTATTAAATAATAATTAACTTCCTGTTTTTTTAAATTTAATTTAGTGTATTTTAGGAAGTAAAAAAAAAAGATGCAGTAGGAAAAGAAACAATGAGTTAACAAAAATTTTTTTTTTCTTACACATTAATTTAAATGATTGAAGCGAATTGAAATTTAAAATTTGAATAACATATAATTATTGTTAATGTAATCATACCATTATCCATAATTTAATTAAGTTATTCTTCTGATGAAATGTTGACATTTGCTAAAATTTGCTTCACGTTTCAAAACACAAAAGTCAAAAATTCAAAAAGCTAGAACTTCAGTATTTAAAAAAATACATGTTTTAATAGGCCAATCAACTGGCAAAATTTGATTAAAATAATAGCTTAGTGTATCTAATCCGATTAATTCTTAATCATTGTTTGACGATGAGCTAAACTAGAATGAAATATTTTATGTTGCACTTGGTGTGAGAGTTTTTAACAAAAATGTTTTCCTCTTTTTTTTGAAAAATTTTATTTTTCATTGTTTTCGATTTTTATTTACTGCATTAATCTCTTACATCACTATTTAAACATTAAAACAAATATATTTCTGTTCATTGAGCGAGTATTCCAATTCTTTAAATGCATTTCCGGTTATAGATAAAATATCATATCATTCCGTATGCTTATTTTCTTCGTAAATGAAAGTGTTCTAAGCTTTAAAGAAGAATAACTTCCAGAATATATACAAATATTAAAGTACTGAATTTATTATTGTATCATTCGATGATAAATAATAAATTGTGGTAAATTGCGTAAAACGATGTAATCATTTATTTTTAATTTAATTTTTTTTTTTTTTTTGCTTCACAATATCTTTAGCATATCAGAAATAAAAATCTATTTTGCAATATTTGATCTAAAATTTAATGCAAATAACAGAAGATAATAAAAAAGAAAGGCCATTATTCCATATTATAAAATGCGCTTCTTTTTTTTTTTTCTTTTTGTCACATTAGATTGAATTGATAAGTGGAATACTTTCTATCATTTTCTTATACTTCAGCTTTTTCTACTATCGCAATAATTTCACTCTTCAGTGATTCTTCTGCAAAACATGACCGTGCTGCATTCAAACTCTGTAATCAACAAAGACATTAAACGATTAATTAATTATTTTCTCATTGAATGCAGGAAAAAAAAGAGTGCGTAACATTTATTCCCACACAATCAATCATGTTTAATCTACTTAAATATCGGTGATCTAATTAAAATAAAGCCATAATATTACTATTTTTTTATGTCAATTTTCTCTTAAATATACGCCTTCTTTTTTCTTTTCTTTTTTTTTTTTTTTTTTTTTTTTTTTTTGTTCTCATTTGATCGAAAAGAAAATTGGATGCTTAATTAAACTTACGCATTCCCAAAGTTGCTTTTTGGTCAAGCCTATTTTCTGATATGCAAGTTGATATTCACTTAATAAGCTATTATTAAAACATGTTGGATCATCAGTGCTCAACGAAAAGTTAATACCATCAGCCGCAAATCTGCAAAACTGATGAACCTTTCCTAATATATATTAAAAAAAAAAAATTAAAAAAAAAAATGAAACTTCTCTAAAAATTAATTAAAAATAAATGAGAGCTTTTTTCCAAATAAAAAAAAAAATGCTGAAATTATTGTCGTTAGCTAGTGTAAGAAAATATGCATAGACAAACCGTTTAACCGGATGGTGAGACCATAATAATGGTACGGAACCAGTCATAACGGATGACAGAGGACATGCTTCAAAATGAATTCGCTTTTCAATTGCATATTTTTTGTAGGCACATTCATCACGAAGTAATCGATAACCATGACCAATTCGTTCTGCTTGCATTTCTTCGATTGCCTAATTTAAAAATTAAAAAAAAAAAAAAAAAAAAAAAACCGAAACTGAAAGAAATTCTCCTATTAAATTGAAACTTTTAGAAAATTTTAAATATTCCAACTTTCTACTCTAATGATACTTCCTATTCTTACTCTATTCTTTAAAGTTTAAACTTTAGTAAAAAAATTTCACGAACGAAAGCAATTTACATTGATAACTTCTTTTGCACCACCACTCTCACCGGCATGTACAGTACGATGGATACCTCGTTTAGCTGCTTCCTGAAATATACTCATACGAAAATATATACTTTAAATAAATAAATGATTTGATGACATGCAAAAAGTGTCATTTTGCCAACATTTATTTTACTTAAACTTCCAAAATTTTATTTTAATTTCCAATTAATTAATTCATCACTACAGTATAGTAAACTAAAAAAAGAAAAAAATAGAATTATAGCAGTATGAAATATGTGAAACAACTTGATAAAGCTCCGATACACTTGGTGGATATTGCTCGTCAGCACCCAATGAACAACCTGCTATATCAATGCCAACAACTCCTTCACTTGATAAATTTGTTGCTAAATTAATTAATATTAAAATGAATCATTGAAATAAAAAAAAAAAAAACAAGAAATTTCTTTCTTTTTTTCAAAAAAAAAAAGTAATAATGATTTATTATAGAAAAATCATATACAAACCAAGTTCAAGTACTTCATCATTCCAATCGTGAAAACCATGAATGCAACATAAAATTGAACGTGCTTTTACACCAAATTCTTTTTCACCACGAAGAAAACCTCGTCTCACCGCTTCAATAACACCTTGTGGATCTAGCTAGAAATTTATTAGACAATGATTTAAATTTTTGATGCTACAATCAAATCAATCAAAAATAGTCTAATTTTTTTTTTTTTTCAAAAATAGTCTAATAATCAATCAAAAATAGTCTAATTTTTTAAACACATATAAATATTCACAGTCTCTTTTGTTATAAAATAATAATTATCATACTTGTCCTTTCTTGGTATAAATTCCATATTTTGAATTTGCTGCTGGATTTTTCACTGTATTACATAAAAGATGTGGTGAATATCGCGCTTCAAAATATATCACACCATTTTGCGCCTCATCCTCGCATAATTCATATGCAGTTCGTTCAATAGCGTCCTTATCACCTCTATACACATTCATTTTCTATTAAATTTCCAAAAAAATTCAAAAAAAAAAAAAAAAAAAATCAAAATTTGAATATAAAATTGCTCTTATTTACAAATATCATTTTTATTACGTTGCAGGAAAGCACAATAATTTATTATTACATTAAACTATAGGTGGAAAAAATATTTAAAACTTCAACAAATTTTTTTGTTTAGAAATTCACATTAAAAAAATAATTTAAGCTTTAAATTGTAATTTTTAACAACAAAAAGAAAAAGAAAATTATTAATCAACGACAAACGCAAGAAGAGGAAGAAATAAATCAAATGGTTCCAGCATTTTAGATAAATTTGATGGCTCACGAGTAACAACAATATCGCGTACTTCATCAGCTGTTGTCACTCCTTTTAAATCAATCTTTTTTTCACTAAAAAAATTCAAATTATTTTTTATTTGAATATTCAATTAGTGATAATTAATGGAAAGAAAAACATTTCAGTTAAGCGGGTTATGAAATGAATTTAATCAATCGCATACACAACAATGCTTAATCAAAATGGCCCTTAAAGCTATTAGGTAATGATAAATTAAGAATAAGTAGAAAATTTTAAATAAATGCTAACAGATTAAAAATTACCTTATCGAATAAATAATACATTTATTGGTTAAGATGAATGTATTTAATCAACCAAAATGTCCTTAACACTTTTTTATGAAAGGTTTTCGTTTTTGACTTTCCGTTTCACAAAAATGAAATTAAGATTGATTTAATTTTCATAGTGTCACCGTCAAACAGAAATATTTTAATGATGATTGTTTAGGAACAAGCAAAACTTTGATCTTTTTTTAACATAACCTTTTGCAGAATCTACGATAAGATTGATTTAACTTTTACAGTATCACCGCTATACATTAAAATTTTAATGATGATTATCTAGAAACACACAAACTTCAGCCTATTAAAGCATTTTTTATAAATAAAATAAAATAAAATAAAAAACGGAAACTAATCAAAATTTACATGGAAAGGTCAAGTAAGGTTTGATGTCTTATAGCACCATCCAAATGTAGATGTAATTCTACCTGAAAGAAAACAAACATTTGATTTTTTTTTTTTTTTGAATTAACTTCAAAATTTACAAAACAAAAAACAATAAAGAAGGAAGTAAAAAATATGAAATGAAAGTGAATGAAAAAAAGATATGGAATGGAAGAAAACCAAAACAATATTTAGATTTAACAGTTAATTTAAATTTCACTAGTTTATTCTTTGCATACTTTCGGGAAATCGAATCGTTTGCGTATTTCATCGTCTACTTTTGATGTGTAAGTCATATTTTTGCTGCTAAAAGTAGGAGAGGAAAGATTAAATTTTCAACAAAAACAGAACAAAAAAAAAAAAAAAAAAAAAAAAAACGAGAAAAATTCCCCTTTCAATGACAATTTAAAAATAGGAAAATTATTATAAAGTAAAAATTACAAACTTTCACAGTTCATTGCTGTTAATAATAATAGTTAATAATAAATAAATAAGGAAATAAAGAGACGAATTATTATTGTTATTGTTTATTACTATTTATTTACTTATTATTATTATTAGTATTACTGCTGTATAAGCACAAATAGAATTCTCACCCAACCATAATTGGTGTGTTGCAAAAAGCTAAATGTCACACATTGCAGAAATGGACAATTATAAAAAGGGGAAGAGAAAAGGAAAAAAAATGATAATGTCGCCATTCAGCCAAAATGTGTCATTCCATCCATTTGCTTTCTGTCTCCATCTCTGACCATTTTTGTTTCTCATACTATTTAATTGTATTTGTAAAAATCGATTGTACACACAATACGATATATTTTTTTTTATCGAATTGTTTACTGCAATTTACATTATATATACAAAAAAAGAAAAAAAAAATTATTGCAGTTATCATTGCATAGGTAAACGAAATGGAATAATGAGAGGAAATTTTTTAATTGAAAAAAAAAATCAAATAATGAATAATTGTCGTTGCATTATTTGCATATCAACAATTCTTTATGCATACAGTATGATATCGTAACATATATTATCTTACCAATATTTCCTTTTATTCCTCTTTTTCTTCTTCTTTATAATTTTTTTATTTCGATTTCTTTTAATTTCATTTTTCTTTTTTCATCTATTCACTTATGTTTGCATTGTTTACATTTAAAAATGAGGAAAAAAAATGAAGACGAAATTTTTTTCTTGAAGAAAAGAAGGATTAAATCAATGATATTACGAAAAATTTAAGAAGGTGAAAGAAAAAAAAAAACTTTTACATTAATCTAAAATAGTTTAGGAATAGTAATAATAGATAATGCCAACAAATTTGTTATATTTATAACATTAACTTATTTGTACCATAAATTATAATTAGCTAACTTATAATTAATCTCAATTTACAAGTTATAAATTTGTTATAATTAACAATAATATATCGAGGAAAACATTTATTTGTTGTGATATAATTGCTATTTAATAATTATATTGTTAATGGTAGAATTTTTTTTCAATACAAACAAATTATCAGCTTATCGCATCGTCCATTTTTTTTCTTTTTTTGTATATTCTTTCTTTTCCTTTTTAAAAAATTTTGTGCTAGCCAATTAAAAATTCAAATAAATAATTATTGGTAACGCATATTAAGGGAGATATATGTGTGTTAAAATTCATTTATCATGAATATGTCACTAATAACACAACTACACGTCGATCATAATATACACTGATCATGCGAGGACAAAAAAGAAAAAAATAAATGTGTGATGAGAAACTGGTAAAAACATTTCTGTTAAGCTAAATTCTTATGTTAAGCTAATTCGAAAAAATATTTTTACGATTTTTATCTTGTTTAATTTCATTTCCTATTATTATTCCCTTTTTATATATTGTAAACAAGTTTTGTTTTCATTTTTTTTTTTTTTTTGAATAAATTCAAACAAAAATAAGCTATTCACAAAGATCATAAAAGCATTCATCCCTATCACTAAAGCATCTCACATCCCACATTTTGTCATCCTGTATCACATTTCTCGTATCCTTTTGACTCGTTTCATTATTTATTATTCATCAAGCATAATTCCACTCCGCTTTATTGATATAACCAAATGATGATGATAAGAGAAAAAGCTTACCATTGAAAGTTATTTTAATGTTTACTTTATGCAAACAATGATTGGAATTTTTCGGGAAATTAAGTGGTTCAACGCAGTTAGTTAATGCATAAAATAATTTAATTATTTGTTATTTGTCGTATCTGCTTTGAAAAATTTTATCCACATTTCTCTTTATTTTTAATTAAAATAAACCTAAAAAAAAAAAAAAAAAAAAAAACGATAAAAAACTAATTATTAGGTAACTAATTCTTTTTATCTAACAATGAACAGTTTTTAAAGGAAAAAAAGGAAAGAATTTCATCTAAGATCATTTTTGACATATTATTTCAAAAATTGTTGTATAAAAACTGGAATATTGCACTTTTTCAAATTTTAATTTCATTTATTGCGAATTCAGTAACAGTTCGTCAATCTTGCTACTTTTTTTTCCTTTTATTTGGAAATTTTTAATTGCAATGCATCATTTTGCATTTAGCTGTGATGTAATCCTCACTCGACCATATTTCCATAATGCCTTTTGCACATAAAAACAATTCGCTGCATCGAAACAATTAATTGTTCGCTTGTTCCAACAATGCAATTCATCGCATATCTAAATTCATTTTCGACAACAAAATTTTTCAATTCAACAGAAATCCTTTTTAAAAAATAAGTTTCAAAAAGAAACAATCGAAGTCTTTAAGCATTCTTCGTCAAAGCTTCAATATTCTATTTTCTTTTTTTGGTTTGATTTTTTGTACAAAAATTTTATGGCAAAATAAAGAAAATTACTATTATTTGATATAATATTGAAAAAGTGTTGTTTTGGGAAAAAAAGAAGGAAAGAAAGAAAGAAAGAAATGTCACTAAAGAAACAATGCAACAAATTAATTGTATTATATTAAAAAAACAATTAAAGAGTTTGGTATAAATTATGATTTATACTCATGCTTTAATAATATGAAAAACAAGAGATAAACAATTATAATTATAATCATTATATCTCTGAAGGATGATTTCAGTTTTTGAATGACATACAACGATAATTCAAATTGTTCATTTGGTCATACAACTGTCATACATTGTATAAATTTCAACTTTTTTTTTCTGTTTCGCAAGTATCATTTTGAGTTTTTCTTTTTTCTTTCTCGCTTACTTACGAAAAAAATAAAATAAATTGACTACAAAAAAAGAAAAAATAATAAAAATATTTTTTTTGTTGCTCAATTTCATAAATGAAAAAGTTCATTCCAAATTACTGATTCAAGTTTTATAGATATAATATGTAAATGACACATTTCATTTTTAATGTTAACCTCATATTCCAACTTTATTTATATTCACCATATCTTTATCATTATCATTATTTGATATCTACATTAATAATCTCTTTATTATGATCTGATATTTTTATTGATCCTATATATTTTAACTTTACAATCCCGCATTACTTTAATTTTTGCACTAAATTATATACAACAAAATAAGCATAACATTAAAGAAATGCTTCTTCTCCATTTATTTCTAAAACAGAGAGTTTGCTTTCAGAATGAGATGAAATATATTATAGAAGGAGGAAGTTTAATTCTTCTTTTCTTTTTCTTTTTTTTAACTTTTTGTTTTAAATGAATAGTAGGATGAGGTTGCGGTAGAATTAAGCAGTGAAAGTAGCAGTAAGAAGTAAATGATAGTGTTAAGGCCTAGAAATGATAAATGCTTAGTGTGAAAGCCTTAAGTCATTGCTAGCCTTCAGCTAAGCGTGTATGTAGTACACGTGTATGCATGCATGTGTATGTATAGATATCTATGTGTCTTAAAGTATGCATATGTATGTATGTGTGTGTATGTCCCGTGTTCGTATTCGTGTCCCTGTGCAAATCACATCCTGCAAATCATTACAAATCACTCTTCAAATTTTGATTTCAAATCTCCTTCTTCTCTTTTGTTTTTCTTTTTCTTTCTGATATCTCTGTTTTAAACTATTTGATGTCCCAGCAGGTGATTTCACTCATCGTTTCTTTGATATTTATTAACATAAATAATTATTTATTATTCATTTTAAATTTTTTATTTACGATTAATTATATAAATTTTATCCATCCAATTGTCTTATACCTTGTTTTTGTTTTGCTTTATTCATTTATTTTAAAACCGATATTACTTCATTCATTTTTCTAATATTGATTAACATCGATGAAATATTTGCCTCTCTCCTCCAATCATTTATTTATTTCATTCAATGGAGAATCTAAAAAAAACGACAAAAAGAAAATGAAACAGAAAAAATTCGTTTTTTTCTATCCTAATTCTAAAAATCCGAAATAATACAAAGATATATATCCCGGAATGCATTCGCTGTTTGCAAATGATCATCATTCATCATCAGTCATCATCATCATTTCCATCATCATCATCTCTTAACTCATTAATTGCAACATCTCATTCTCAAACCATTAATTAATGATTGAAATTATTAAATATTTGGCTGAAAGCTTTGCAATTTGTAAATTCCTCTTTTAATTCCTTTTTGATTTTTTTTGAAAAAAAGAAGATAATTAGGTATTTCTTAGATAGAAATTGAATGAACTAGTAAAATAATTTCCTTTTGTTTTCTAAAAGATTGAAATTTGTTGTTTTTGTTTTTCATGTTCAGCTTCGTTTTTTTTTTTTTTTTCTTTAAAAAAAGCACCAAATTAAAAAAAAAGAAATGGTTAGGTGCGAAAAAATTTTTTTCCAATGGTTTCTCTTGCTTCATCAGTTCGTCTTCGTTTAACTTTCATCTTTTCTCCTCTTTCTTTCTTTTCTTTGTTGTTTTCATTTACTGTTTTTCTTTCCTCATTCTCGCTTTTTCTCCCTTTCTCCACCCCCTTTCCTAACTCTGTTTATAGTATTGAAAATGGATAAATGGATGAAAATTAAGTTGGCTAATTGATGATGCATAGAAAACTGAATGATAGAGCTTGATGTCAACATCACTCTCTTTCTTATACTGCGTTGTCACACTAGCAAACCTTTCTTTCAACTGCCTTTAACTTTTGTTACTTTTTATTTTTCAAAGGCCTTTAAATGAAATGCTAACATAAAAACAGTTTAACTTTTCTATTTTTACTTATTTCCTTCCTTTGCTTTTTAATTATTTAAGCCTACGTTTGTCTTTTTTTTCGCATCAAATATTTTTTATTTCATTTTCTTCATCTCTACTCTTACGTTTCTTTTTTTTTATCATTTTTTACCTTTTTTTTTTTTAATCACTTTGCTATATCTCAAGAGAAAAAAAAATTATTTTTCTGTTCTCTTTTCACATTTGTTTTTTAAATGTTTATTTATTATTTAGTTATGAACGCATAATCATTAATATATACATAAATCGTATTATTTAAATGAATTTTAAGCATTTAATAAATGATAGAATATGTGTAAAGATAGTGTAATTTTCTGAGTAAAACATATTATCATAATATATGGAATAAAAAAATTTAATAAAGTATATCATTTTTCATTTTCGATTAAATTATTATATAATTAACATATCTTCTTCATTTTGTTCCTTCTTTTTTTCTACCGTTCTTACATTTTGCAAATTTTCGAATGAATTTTGTGATATTTTATATACTCTTCATTTACAATCATCCTTTTTTTTTCGATTTGTCATTATAGTATTTCTGACAACAGACGATTGATTTTTCGTGTTAGTTGAGCCAAAAAAAAGAAAAAAATCAAACCTCGTCGTTTCCTTTCTTCCGACAGATTTCTTTGGTTTGTTCTTTTCTTTCGTTCTTTTTTTTTTATAAATGGTGCATTTTGTTTCGTTTTTCTTTTTTCTTCAAGAAATCAAAAGAAGAATTTTGAATCCTTCAATATGACATAAGTACTCTTCGATAGAATATCCGTTTGCTTTAGTTTTCCCTATTGGAATGTTTCATTTTGTAGATGTATGGATGGATTTTTTTTTTAATTTGATTATTTATTGCGTAGTATTATTCGAAACAATGTAATCAATCATAATTTTGAAAAAATCTCTGAACTTTAAAGTTTACATTCAATAATGTGACAGGAGTAATTAAATAACAGAACATGAATTTTGTAAAGTAAAGATTAATTGCTCCAGTCTTTTCTCCTTTTTATTATTTATTTACTTATTTTTTTTTTTTTAAGAAACTAACAAATTTAAATCGAACATTTGCTTATTCGTTGGAAGAAAAGATCAAAATTTTCTAAAAAAAAAAGAGGAGAGAAAAAAAAAAGGAGAAAATGTTAACTGAAAGAAAAAGAAATAAATTGTTGATCTTAAAAAAACGAACATTTTGTTCATTTCAAAAAAAGAAAAAACAAAAAACTGAAATTAGAAAAGATAAAAAAGCAAGCTAAAAACATAAATTACGGTTAGAAAGAAGGAAAACTATGTCAGTTAATCGATAGATGAAAATTTCCTTTTTCTTCTGTCATTCGGTTGTCAACTATTTATTCATATAGATTTCATATTTTCTCTCCCTCTCTCCACTCCCACAATCCCTCTATTCCTTATATGTATTATTTATAGTATATTGCCATGAATTTTTTTTTTCCTAAATTACGAATGATTAATTCAAGTGTTTTATTATATGCCTACAGTAAGTACAACTAGAAAAGTGCCTCGTAATTTTTGTCAGATAATTAATGATGACCAAATTTCAGCATTTTAATTTTCATTTAATTTTCAATTTCCTTTTAACGCATTATGCTTTAAAGCAATCATTTTTGATGGAAATAAAAAAGCGTTACTTCTTCATTAGAAATTTTAAAATTAAAGTCTTTTAAATTTATTAAAGAAATTTGTCTTTACGAAAAGAGAGAAAGACTGAAAAAAAGTGGTGACATAAATAGTTAATAACAATAATTGTCCTGAAAATGCGAAATTATTGGTGAAAAATGATGAAGCAGCGAATAAATTACAAAATTTTATGCTATTTCTCGTATCCCTAATTTATTTAAAAAAGCATTTTTTCACTTCCTATTTAAAATTCTTTATTATCGTTTTTATTTCTATTCATATTATTTAACAAAAACTTGTGTCACAAAAAAAAAAAAATTTTTTTTCTTTCCAATTAACTAAATCTAAATAAAAAGAGGAAGAAAAAACAAACAATTCATTTAATTGTTTTTTTCCTCTTTAAAATTTTCATTATCTCTTTTTATCCCTAAATTTATATTATTTGATAAACTTCACATTATTAAAATAAAAAAAAAAATTTAATGAACAATTAGAACTAAAAAAAAGACAGAAATTTATTAAATTTAATGAACAATTAGAGCTAAAAAAAAGACAGAAATTAATTCATAGTAATAAATTTCTTTTTTTTTTTTTTTTTTTCATTTCTGTTTTCATTTAATCATTTGGAAAACATGTTTTCATGCTGTCATATCGCTTATCTAAACATCCAACAATAATTGTTGCCATGACGCTGCTTTCCACATTTCATTCAATTTTAACAACTTCACCATTTGCACGCATACATTACATATGCTTCAACTTTTGGCAACGTTTTTCACGATCAAAGTTTGAATCTTGCTCTGTCTTTTCTCTCCTCTCTTCTTGCTTTCTCTCTCTCTCCCTCTCTCTATTTCTCTTTCTGTTTTTTTTCTTTCTTATTTCTTCTTTTTTTTTTAAAAAATTTTAAGCAATTGATATCATCATCACCGTCATCATGCAAGCGTTATAACTGAAAGAGAAAAATTTTTTAAGTTAAAAAAAAAAAAAAAAAAAAAAAGAAAAACGGAAAAAATAATACTTCAATTTACAAAATGCATATGTGCATTTATATATATATATGAGTAAAAAAATTCAAAAAAAAAGAAAAAAAGAGAAAAAAAATACATATTAGAATAATATTAAACTTAATATTTTTTCTTTTTCTTTTTTTTTAAAAAAGAAAATTATTAGGACTATTTTCTAAGCTAAAATCTTATGAGTAAAAAAAATTAATGATAATAATGGTGATTTAAAAATATAGAAAAAAATTTATTTTTTTTTCAAATTCAATCATTTATCAATTTTTTTAGCTGCTATTTTTTTCTCTCTTTTATTTAAAAATTGGAATAATTTTAGGAATGAAAATATATGTCGATTACTCCCACTTAATAAATGATATTTACTTTCATATTTTCTTGAAAATTAAACGCTAGATCATCTCTCTCTTCCTCTTCCTAAAAAAAAAAAAGAAAATTCCACCATAGTTTTTTTTTTCATTATTCGAAAAAGCGAAAAAGTTGAAATTACAAGGATATTTTCTCCTGCTAAAAATTACTCCCTGAAGCATTTAAGTCGTTACAAAATTGTTGACTTATTATGTTGTCACAGTTAGTAAATGACAAATTGCTAATATGACATGAAACGGATACAATTGTTAGTTTATTTGTTGCGTAGGCTTGCGCTTAAACTTCATGAAAAATTTTTCAAGCATCAATGCCTAAATCTAAATGAACACTCCTCCTTTTCCTAAAAAGAAAAAATTTCCTTTCAAAGTTTTTCTGCTTTTCCCTCTCCTCTTTCATTCTCCTTCATTTAATTTTTCTATCACTTGTCATTTCAGTTAATATTGTCGATTATAAGAATAAACAATTGTTAAATGTTGTCCTCTATCCTTCTTTTTGTTTGAAAAATTTAATGAATTGTTTTATAAAATTGTAACATGATCAATATTTTTCACTTCCCATTCCATACTTTATTGTTAATGAATAGATAATACTCATTTGTGAAATTTATCGAAAAATATTAGGCAAAAAAATTTGACAACATTAACAACATCAGCTTTTTTTTTCAAATAATTGTTTGGAAGAAATGATTTATCTAGTAACAAAATAAAAAACGTCCTTTCTGCTTATTTTTATAATCTTTGTTTTTATTCTTTAAAAAAATGATTTCTAAACTAATATCAAATTTGTATTTTTGTGCCTCCATTTTACATTATATGTATTGAAAATAATCTTGATAATAATTAATAATCTTTAAAATAATGATAGTGATAATTGATAATTGTGATTAAATCATTACAACATGGAACTGTGATTGATGCAATGCATGCTGATTAAGAATTATTCGATGAAATATTTAAATAGATCGCAATGATGTATCGTTATATCAGCAACTGATAAGAGTTTACAGTGATGGAGACAAATGGATAAGGACTCGTAAAACTGGCGAGAATACGGCTTCAGGATTATTTTCAGTGATGAGGCTAAAACGGCACAGCAGGAAAGCATCGAAAAGACGATCCGAATTAACATTTGATCTAAGTGGTTTGACCAAAGTACTCAAACGTACACGATTAACAAGAAATGAGTTCGTTTTTTTTTTTCAAACTGATTGTTGAAATTTAAAATAAAAGAATTGTTAAGTGTTGTTATACTCATAACTGTTATTATTATTATTATTTTTGTTAATTATTGGTATTATTATTACTATTGTTATTACAAGTAATATGTTACGCAGTTAGAAAAAAGGGAAATAAAAACAAAAGTTATTTAATATTATCGTCTTCAATTAAAATGTACAATTCATAAATTATCAAAGACGAAATTTGGTATAATACATTTTGCATGAATATAAAACTTACAAATCGATTTATTATAATATTAAATGAAAATGAATTTTAGGTCACAGAGTGGTCAAGATCTGCCACCATCTTGTCCTTCACCATCACAAGATGCTTCTCTTGCTGTGCCAGCCAAAGGTCATATTGTCCATATGGTGGGTGTATTTCAAAGTCCACCAAGTACATCCACCTCATCCTCCAATGAAAGTAATAATGGAGGAATAGCTACAACAACTAATAGTATACAACCTGAAACACCTCCAGGTTTGTGTATTTGGATTGAAAAATTTACAATCCTTTCAAAAGTTTTCATATCTTCAAGTAAGGCTTTCTTTAATCTTTTAAATTATGCTAATTTTATAAAAATTAATTTTTATATTTATTATTCATTAATGTTATAACTTTTTTAAAAATTATAGCAAGAATGGCAGAAAAAAGTAACATTTAGCTCATACTACATTGATGATATATGATACTTTTTGGTAGATAAAGGTAATTATAAATAATCGATTATACATGCATACATATATAATATATGAGTTATGTAATATATGTTTGAATATTGCTTTTGCTGAATGTCATTTCATTTTTCCTCAATAAATATTCCGAAATTTCCTCTTCTTCTTCCTGGATATAAAAGGAAAGTATATCAAAAGTATATATATATATATATATTAAGATAGCAGTTTCAAGTTTCATGCATGAGAAATTAGAGCTCATATAACAATCATTCGAACTTTCGTATTAATGGATTCTTTTTATATGGAGAGAGAAGCAGAAATTTTTGTAAAAAAAAGAAAAAAATCTATTTTTCGAAATGAGTCTCGTGATGATTTTTTTTTTTTTTTGAAAATGTTCAATATTCACATCTCAAAATATTAAACATTCCTTTACTTTGATCAATCAAATTGATTGATAGAACCACTATTTTGATCATCCATTACAATTGATTAGCTTTTCCTGGCAAAATAATTTGTCAAATATTTCAATCAAAATTTTTATTTTTTGAAAAACCAATTAAAATTTTCGAAATTTTTAGTTGAAAAATTTTCTGATGCCAAGTATTCCTCCGTTCTATCTGTTATATTAGTATATTAATGAATTCACACTAATTAATGCATGCATTTGTGTTCATCGTTCTTCTACATGCATTTTTTTTTTTTAATTACTTTCTTTTCACTGCTAGCTTGAAATTTCTGCAAATACAATCCTATCGAATTACCAGATTGTTACTACTGATGAAATGCACTGATCACTGGTAATGCATAAAATTATCAAAATTATAATTTTCAAAAAAAAAAAAAAAAAAGAAAAGAAAAGAATGATGCTAAATTTAACGAACTGTTGCTCGATTCATACTAAAATTTCATTTTTTTTTTTCTTTTAGTAGCAAGGTCAGTTTTCAGTTCATAACACAGAACCAACATATTCTTCATCCGCACATCTTGATGAGCCGAAAATTTATCGTCGATATACCAATTCATCAGCTGCAACGGAACAGGACGATTTTACACCGGAAGAATTGCAAGAATTTGCACAAGCATTTAAGGTCCTATTAGAAATAGTTTCAATTCTTAGCAAATTTGCAGCTAGACATTTAGAAAACTTTTCCTTTTTTCTTTTTTGAATTTATCCTGAAACAATCTTTTCAGTAGCTTCAAGTCTAAAAATTAAAAACTTTTTAAGAAATTAATTTCCCTTCTTTTTTCTATCATTTGATAAAATTATATTGCAATTTTTAACACTCCGCTTTCCCTACTCTGATAATTCCTTTTTATATCATTTCTTACAACTGAATTGTAATGCAACTTGATGATAACGCTTGCATGAAAGTGTCAATTGCTCTATATTCTTTTTTATCTAAAAATCGAATTTAATTCTAATTTAGTGCCAATTAACAGTAAATGCACCAACAGTGAATGTAATTAATTTACTGTTAAAATATTTAGATGTTCGATAAAGATGGTAATGGTACGATGAATATCAGAGAATTAGGTGTAGCAATGCGTACTCTCGGATTAAATCCAACTGAGGAAGAGTTACTCAACATGGTTAATGAATATGACGTGGATGGCAATGGCAAAATTGATTTTTTTGAATTTTGTAAAATGATGAAAGAAATGAGCAAAGAAACGGATCAAGAATTGATACGATTAGCATTTAAGTATGTATGCTTTTCATCAATCATTTGTATTATTCAATTTTTACGATAATGGTTGGTTCAGCTGAAGTTATAAGATAAAATGACTTAGTTATCACTCAACATCGAATTATATTTTGATTTTAAATTAAATACATTCTTAAATTTAAAGCTATCAAATAGTTCAAGAAAATAAAAATTTCAAACAATAATAATGTACAAATTATCATTTTCTCCATATAATAACATTTTCAAATTAAAATATAATAAAAAGTTTATAAATAAACAAAGCAAATCATTCTATTTCTAGCTAATTCAAACAAAATCATATCACCGAAAATAAAAAAAAAAATCTGATCATACCCATTACATGTATGCATTTAATTTGAACCTTTTGCATCTTTTTCTGCTTTAATTTTTTCTTTTTTTGTTTTTCTCACATTAAGGATGATAAATCATTTTAAGTTTAAGGATTTAAAAAAAAAAAACTCTTCAAAGCACTTACAGTATTTTCAGCCTAGTGAGGAAATGACAATGGTTACGCATTGATGAGAAAGTAGATGGACAGGTAAATATCTTAAAAAGCTCAAAGCAAACAAAGAATGGCTAGACTGCTTATTGAATTTAAGCGGAATAGTTTGGGTTATGATATTATATCCCAAAATAAACGGAATAAAATTGATTATCACGATTAGACTAACGGATAGATAATAGGAATTACGAAAATAATTTCAGAATGACATACATTCCGAAATGATGAAGTGATTCAAAATTCTCGAACTTTTTTTTTAATTTTTCAAATTAATCTAACAAAATTTATTATGTAAAATTTTTACAGAGTTTTTGATAAAGATGGTAATGGATATATCACGGCTCAAGAATTCAAACATTTCATGACAACGATGGGTGAAAAATTTAGCGAAGAAGAAGTGGATGAAATTATCCAAGAAGTTGATAAAGATGGCGATGAACAGGTCAGTGTTAAAATTTTAAATGATGAAATTTTATGAAATGAAATAGATTTGCTAAGCTATGATAAAATTTTAAGAAAACACAGATATGCAACATATAATATGACAATATCATAATTTATATGCTAATTAAAATTGTTTGAATAATTGACTTTTTTTCAAAAATACATATTATAAATGTTGAAATATGAACGATATAAAATGAGCAAAAATTTTGAGATCAACTACGAGGAATTTGTCCAAATGATTGCTCCAATCGTCCACGATGAAGCTAAAGATGATCCATTCGCCGAAACTTCATCTAAAAAATGAAATGAATCATGAGAAATCATGATTTCTTCCTCAATGATTGCTGAAAATTTCCTATCGGCATTTATTTCGTGTTATTATCATTCGTATCCAAAACACAAACATATCGCTCAATTTTAACAGCATTGTAAAATAAACGGCACCAAAAACAAACAAAAAAAAAATTCCTATTTATTTGTTACATCTAATTTATTTCATTCCTTTCTCAGGAATTTTATTACAGTATTTCTATCTGTTTATATTTGTTAATCTAATAATTTGAAAAATTCAGAATAATCATAAATTTTGCTGGGATAATGGTAAGAAGAAGATAGATTGATTTGATTTGATCATAACATTTGATGTAAGGAGGATAAGGTTACGTCAAGCTTCCAGATATTTCTTCTTATTTAATCAAACAAATTAAAAAAAAAAAAAAAAAAAAAACTGTCATAACTGAAAATGTTACATTTTATCTATGTGTATTTCCTGTTGTACCGTGATGACCGCAAACCTAACAATAATCCATGAAATTTCATTGGAATTTTGATTTAAAAATTATAACAAACTTTCGTCACTTATATTAAATCCTAAAAAATCACTTTTCAATATGCATTGGATTTTCCAAATTTTTAATCTCATGCTTGCGGCCATTTCTGATCGATCAACTGCTACATAGATCTCATATAATTTATGAACTCCACAACTCCCTTCACAACTTTGTATATTATACTGCCTCATCTACATGAATTATCATGTAAAACTAGTTTCATTTCTTCAGTCAGATTCCCAAAATCTCCAATAAATTTGGTAGGAGAAAATTTCCCATAGAAAGGGGATTGATATGCTTCATGTTTAAGATTCCCGGATTGTTTAAAAATCCGAAATATCGGGAAAGAAAACTTGACTATCGCCGTAAACCCCTATGGTTCGTTGTGCAGTCGTGAAAGTCGCAATGTTTCTAAATGATGTTACTGTATTCTATCATCATACCTAGGTATTTTTATTTTCTCATTCACCACTATTTCTTTGTATGAAAGTTTAGTGCATTACATGCACATCACATCATTTGCTTAGATTTTTTGTGAAGTAAAAATTAGTGTAATTCAATCTCAACAGTATTTCACAAAATCAGTTTTATTCAGCACCATGAGAAATTTATTATTGTATAAGACCGGGTAAATTTCGCAGACTTTTTCATTTAATTATTATATATGCAATCATTACAAATACAAATTTAAATTCAGAGTACATTTTAAAATTTGAAAAAAAAAAAAAGATTGTTCTTTGCAGTTAGAAAATAGCAGTGAATAGAGATTAACTACATTTTGCACAATCAAAGTCATTTATTTAATTAAATTGAATAATTCATTCATTCCACAATGAATAAACTCATACCTTTTCCAAAAGTTCGAAAATTTTTTAAAAAAAAAAGATATACACAGTGATTTACTACATTATAAAATGAGAAAAGTGATGGAAAAATAAAAAAAGTGACTTTAAACACAAGGAAAATAACCCAATGATAGAAAAATTTTCACCAAATTCTTGAACTTAACTTTGGACAACTGCAAGCTTATCCTCCTTGGGGATGCAATGAGAGAGATCTGCACATTTTTCACGCAATTTTGCAGCGCGCATCATAAGCTGCAAATAAACAACAGCTTCATCAGCAATTAAATCGGATTTAAAAACGGAAGTAAAATCGAAATCGAAAAAATCGAAAAGTAAAAATTAAGCGGAAAATACAACAAAAAAATTTACTCGACAACGTCCACGTTTCCTTTTCCATTCCTTTCTGCTCAAACCTGATACTTTACTTGGTATGCCTTTTCTTTTCAAATTGGCTTTCAGTTGAATCATTTGTTGTTTCTGCAACTCCAGATATCTTGCACGAAGTTTCTGGAATGTGTTCCTGGAAAAAGTAGTAACTAGTGGAGATAAACAGAAATTGTCACAAAAGCAAAGAAGTGCATAATATTAAATAAGCTTCAAATGAAACATTTTGATAAAGTAGAAGACAGCAAAAAAGGTTTGGGAGAAAATTTCCTTACAATGAACATGCTTGTATATTATGAAAATATTTCTTCGGACGTAGGTTGCGATTTTTTGACTTATCACTGCGTCGTTTTTGCCGATGTACACGTTTCCGTCTAGAATAAATGTGTTGCGACTACTTTCAATACAAGCTTTCAAAATTAAAACTACCGACTAAATAACTCCTACTCTGATAGTCTAGGAACAAATTTAAAAATAAAATGAACTTTTGAACTCGCACTTTTTTGCAGCAGCACCAACTTCGCTCAATAAAAACTCTTCAGGAACATCGGTTCCAACATCTTTGAACGTTTTTTCCGATGGTTCATCAGTAACTATAACTTTTAATTTTTTTATATCCTTCACAGTCGTGAATCGATGAGCAGCTTCCATTTTAATGTCTTTAATTTCATGATCATCTTCAGCTACATCACTTTTTATAGCTTTTTTTAGACCAGCATTTTTAAACCCATTTGCTTTAGCATCTTCTATTCCAATCTTTTCTGCAACATCAATATCCCTCATTCCTAGTACTGTGATGCGTTTGGATGCAGCTAGGGCCTCCCATCAAAGTAACTGTCAAATAAGTTCTATCGTAAACCGTTTTGTAGAGCATTTTGCACTAAAACATTCATTTTTTAACTTTACTACAGAATAACTTCCAAAAATTTTAGATAACATTATTCATGATTTAAGTAAAGAAAAAAATCCGAATAAAATATCCTATATCTGCTGTAGGCGTCGTTATAAATATTAAATTAGAATTATTACTTTCATCAATAATCGCTTTGGGTTTTTTAACTAATATATCATCCACTCCATAGCTTGATCGCCTTTTTCGTTTCTTCCGCCTACTGCAATTTCCATCTTCACCTCTTACAACAACGCTAGAATTATCCACACCCATTGCTGGTTTTTCAGCATGGGTTGCTCCGGTTTCTACTGTCTCTGAACTCAAAATTCATTTAAAGTATAAATTTATACAATCATATATATAAAGTGTATAATAAACTGAAATAAATCCCAATAACTACTTTAAACCATATTAAAGATCCGCAAGTTCGAAAGAAAGTGATTTGATTACTAAATAATATGTGAGATGAAAAAAGCAGCAATTTTTGCTCCCTCATAATTCCACTTCCCGTCCTTAAAATTAAAGGTACTTTAGAACCATACTAACTAAATCCTAACCGAGTGAACCAAAACTGCACAGTTCCTAAATCTCCAGAAATCTCACCTTCTCCATTTTTGACCTTTCGTGTCTGACTTTTAGCACTGTTATCGACCTTTTTTCTCGGTTTCTTTTTTGGCTGCTTCTTTCGCATCTTATTCTTCTTCCTAATCTTTGAAACGGAATTCCTTCCCATTGTTTTTTTCCTCTCTAACTTCAGCTTTTTGCGTCGTCTACTACCAGCTTTCTTCCGCAACAATTGATGAAACTATAATTTGCCACATAAGACCAGAAAAAAGGAAACTTGGCTTACTTCGAATAACTAAACTTGTAACAAAGAGATCTCCAGACAATATCTAATTTTTGAGGGCATTTACCAACAACTACAGTATTGCTACTACTACAGATACAAAACGAATTTCAAAATAAAACAAACAATACTTTCACAAAATCCACTGGAGATTGTTCATCCAAAAATTTGATGAAAGCACTTTGAAAAAATCCGTCGGTACATGCAGTAGATGCAGATACTTCAGCTGATGTGAATAAATTACTGGCCAAGGAACCTTTGTTCGGATTTATTTTTCTTTTCATTATTGGATGCACAAATACAACAGTCCCAAATGCTGATGCCCATTTTTCCAGTAAATCCACTTTACAGCCATGAGGCAAATTGTCCTGAAAAAAGCTCAGTTAAAATAGTTGAATCACTGATGTATTCCGAAGTAAGAATTATGTATAAAAACTTTACATGAAGAATGCTACACTGCTGAATGAAGCCTTACGTGAATCTAAACATGAAATCGACATCGAAATTAGATAGTTAGTGTTAAATTACAATTCTTCTAACCGGCAATTTCATCCAATTAAAAATCATCAGAATAAACAAACTTACAACATAAACAACGGTAGAACTGTGATCTAAACCATTGCTTTTGAGCACAAGTTGAAGAGTATCCGTTGAATCACCAGTAATTGAAAAAAATTTTGAGAAATTCCCAATACTAATAAGCGCTTTGCAACTTAGTTTTTGATATTCATCCGTATCTAACTTCAGTAATTTAATTATCGATGACAGCGGTGCACTTACTATACAGTCCATATCTGTTTCTAGAATATCCTGAATTGGCGAATCACTCGTACATAATGCTATTTCAATCTGTAAATCAGCTATATACAAACGCCAGACAAAATGTATTGCCTTTACTGTCTTATAAAATTTAATTTGCAATATAGAAATTAGAAATGACTAACCATGCTTTAACACCAGCTCTTTCCAGTGCTTGGATACCAAAAATACAAATCCGCAAGAAGATTAAACTATATAATATTTACATCATCATTCGGAGGAGGTTACGATCATAAGCTTAAAATCTCTGAAGAAGTTTCTATATTCCATTTCGGAAGAAGTGAAATAAATTTACCTTTTCTCTAATTGTCCGTCGAAGAGCTTTGGTTCGTGGTCGCTTACGCTTTCGTTTTCCATCACTACTATTCTTCGATGAAACATTTTCCGGATTAATTGCAGTTTTATTACTTGCATTTTCATCGTTCAATTTCTTGTCAACATCACACTCCATCTCGACTACCTCAATAATCAAACCAAAAATATTTCAGTAAAAACCATTTTCTTAAGGCAAAAATAAAACTAAAAAAAGGCTTTTTATTTATCTAAAAATCTATCAAAAGTCAAATAAGATTGCCATTACTATAGCAATTATCTGATTAAATGATACGGTTTAATGGTTAGCATCAACTAAAGCATCGTATATTACTAACTTTCATAAAACTTGTCCACACATTTAAATATTTCTTCCAGTAAATCTGCATCATTAAACCACTCCCACTTAAACAGACTAACCCGAAACATCAAACCTGAGCTAACTTTATAAAGACTGTAAATTTGAATTTAGACTGCAACGGAAATTTTCATTTTGTCTCAATATAATGTAAGCGTTGAGTGACATGATACAGGGAGAACGTTGTACGGAGTGAGATGAGTGAGGTTTTTGGTAGTCGGTTTAGTCTGGTGTTATGACTGGTTTGTGTTTCAGGACCGTTTCGAACTGATGATGAAATATGAGACGAAAACTGAGATCATCGACCTTTCTATTACAAAAAGCGCACTTGTCAGTTTGACGAAAGCCAAAAAACAGCCTTACATAAAGTCAGCATTCCTCATATTTTCATCTTGGACTCATTAATTTTTATGCCTGAGTTGACGCACTTGATATGTTATTTCAGATTTAAGCATTTACAAAAGTTTTTTTCAGGGAAAAAAACTTCGTCTATGAGAAAGACCAGAAAAAGTCCAGTGACAGGCATGAAGTGTTCATACCTCAAAACGCCTTGAGAAGGCATGATACCGGTGCGGCAGATATTAATCCGGTAATTTTTTTTGTCTCGAATGATGGTAAAGTGCTTTTGTGGTTATCAGCCATTAGTACTTTGCTAATATGCATTCTTTTCTTTGTTTCAGAAATAAGGAAGGTTGTTGGGTTCAGCCCCTTCTGAAGCTTTTTTGCACTTGTAAAGTTCTGAATTGTCCTTAATTGCATTGGAACTTATATGCGATTCTAACATATGCCTTTAAAGTCGTAATAGGTATGAACAACTTTCAGGAAAATGTGAAAACAGGTTTCCATAAAGCAAAGCTTGAAACCAAAAGGAAAAGATTTCTGGAAAGGACGAGGGAAATTGCACGGGCGGAGATTCTCAACAGTGAACATGAAGGGTAAAATGATATTTTATAAATCCCACATTTGAATTTGCATTTATGATCCTTCTTAATGACCAATGATTACAGTCAACTAATTACGCTTATCTTTTGTAGTTTTCTTGCTGGCGATAAAGGAGAACTTACTTATACGGTCAAGCAAGAAGATATATGCAATGCTGTAGATATTGCAAGTGCTAGCAAGGTTAATTTGTCATTCATTTCCGTTTTCACTTTTTTAAAAGAAGCAAAACATCATCTGTTAGTTATGATCTTAATACAACAGAAGTCATGCAAAGAGTTGCCTGTTTGCAGCACTTTGATGTGCGATTAGAGCGTTTTGGTCCATATCGTGCCAATTACATACATAATGGTCGTCATCTGTTAATTGGTGGTAAGCGTGGACATGTTGCTGCGTTCGACTGGTTAACAAAAACACTCCGTTGTGAAATCAATGTCATGGAAGGCGTCCGAGATGTCAGGTAAGCAGTTTTGGGGAGTAGTTAAGTATGGAGTTTTTGAAAAAAAAAATATATGTACGGAAGGAATAAAAAATGTACTATGTTTAGAATTCTTAAGCATATGCAGAGAGTTTTCTAGAATTCAGGAAACAGAAAGATTTTGGGAGGTGATATGATTTAATAGATAAGCTTTTAAATTTGTTTTCAGATGGTTACATGTTGAAACAATGTTTGCTGTTGCCCAAAAGAGATGGACACATATTTATGACAACACGGGTGTAGAGCTACACTGTTTAAAAAATTTGCATGATGTCAAACGTCTGGAATTTCTCCCGAGGCATTTCCTTCTTGTTGCTGGGGTAAGCTGAAATTCTTTGTCAATAATTTAGAAAATTTATTATTGAAATCAAATGATATACTATAATTGCGAAAGCCATGTCACCGTTATGTAAAATTAAGAATCAAAAATATGTTTAAAAAATTATTTTCTGAAGAAATTATTTCTAAAGAGAAGTGTTAAGTGATAACTCATAGATGCACAATAAAATTATGTCAATATTTACAGAGTAATACGTCATTTCTGCATTATTTGGATGTTTCGATGGGCAAAATGGTGCAATCTTTTCCAACCAAACAGGGACCTCTGGATGTAATGACTCAGAATCCAAACAACGCTATCATTCATACTGGGCATGGGAATGGTTTGTGTCATATATTGACTTTATAATTTTTTATAAGGAAAATTGAGTGGGGTCGGAACCATTATGGTTTCTGTATTCAGGAACAGTGCAGTTATGGTCTCCAAATGTTAAAGGACCGTTGATAAAAATGCTAGCTCACCCGTGTTCGGTACGAGGTATAGCTGTGGAAAATAATTATATGGCTACTACTGGTCTTGATCGAAAGCTTAGGTAGTTTTGTTTTTTTCGGCTATTAGTTTTTGGTAAGTTCGAGTTTGTGCGGGTTGAATTCATCAAAAATGTAATCTAATCTTTAAATGTTTTCGCTTATAGGATTTGGGATGTACGTAATTATAAACAATTATATGCTTATACGTTACCGTTTGGATTGGCCGAAGTATCTTTTAGTCAGCGTTATGCAGTTTCTTGCAGCGTTGGGAATCAAATTCAGGTAATTTTTCATTTTTATAAATTCAGAGATGTCTGACAATGAGAATTGATTGTGAAATAAGCTTATATTTCTCGGTATCATTGCTTTTAAAATCAAAATTTTTTGCAGATTTTTAATGATGTGCATTTGGGCACAACTACTGCACCATACATGTCACATCAGTGCACCGGAATAGTTTCTAGCTTGCAATTTTGTCCATATGAAGATGTTCTTGGAGTTGGACACCAACATGGATTCACTAGTTTGCTTGTGCCGGGTAACTCTGTTTTAAATAAACAATTAAAAAATTTTTTTCTAGAAACATTCTATCAAACATTCTATTTTTATTTCTAGAAACATTCTATCAAACATTCTATTTTTCAATTGTAGAATAAATGCACATTTGTTACTTGAAGGAAGCGGAGAACCGAACTTTAATGCACTGTTGACAAATCCTTATGAATCAAAAACTCAACGGCGTGAACGAGAAGTGAAGCAGCTTTTAGATAAGGTAGTTTATGGCTTCAATAATTTGAATCGTGAGAATACAAATAGTTTGAATTTAGTTAGTTATGATGTTCTGAAATACTTTATTTTAGATTCAGCCGGAACTGATTACTTTGGACACTACAGAAATCGTACAAGTGAATACGGATTTGCTTGAGAAAGAGAATGAACGATTAAAACTGTTACTCCATACAAAACCGCGTGAAGTGAAGTTTAAACCGAGGAATAAGAAGAAAGGAAGAGGCAGTGCTCTGAGGAAGGTATGGAAATTCGGGAACTGGTCAGCTAGTCATGTCTTGATATTTTTATACCTAGTAAGAGACATAAATTTTGAAGAATTTTTGGTCTTTTTATAGGAACAGATTAAGCAAAGTGTGCAGTCCGAACAAAGATTTATGATAAACGAAGCACGGAAGAAGTTAAAAGAGGAATTTTTAACGAAAGAAACAGTGAAGGTTGAAGATTCTCAAAAAACAGTGCTTGATAGATTTCGAAAAAAGGATGTTTAAATGTTGCATTTTATTTTTAGCTTTTTACATGTTTTTTTCAGAAATATATTCCAACTTGTGAATTTGCATTTCCTAAAAATTAAGCTCAAGCGAAGCTTGAAGTTAAGGTTTCACTTGAAATTTTTATTGTTTTTATTATATTTTTCCTGTCTTTTGGCTCGTATTGTTTGCTGTTATTTCTGCATTGAAATGAATGAAAAATCATATGGTAGTTTTACATTGAAGAAAGTCATTCAGTGTTTGTTGTTTTGGTATTGATTTTTAAATAAAATTTAGTGAATTTTCTTTTAGAAGTGATACAGTGACGTTTCATACGGTGTTTTGTTATTGATTCAGATGTTTTGTTTAGTAGGAAAGGATTTTGGTGCTAAAATATTATTGATTCTTTCAAGTGTTTGATGGATTCATGGGTGGGAATTATTTTGGATATCGTCCATTCGTCCAGTAACAATTATAGATTAAGCCGAGTGGGTATTACAGTGATAAGTCGTAAACCTTTTGTTGAGGCATATCTTTTGTCCTTGTGCTAAAAGGCTTCAACATTGGGATTGCGGGAAATTCTGGTACTTTGGATTTTGTATTTCAGGGGAAACTTTTATTTATTTCATTACATATATTACTAACACGTTTCATCGGATTGCAAATATTGTTGCTGATATGGCTTTTAGCAAATTTGTGTTCCTAACATGTATTTTGTTCAGCATTTTTTTAATTTTGTTCATGCTGTATATCAACTTTCCGGAACTTACTGAGTAAGTTTCATACCATTTTCCGTCCGATTTGTTAATTGTGTAAATATCTGGAATATTACCCACTGTTTTCAGTATTTGTTGTCTGCACTGCTTATTCCTGCTGAAATTTGAGTTTACAGATGAGGGACACTGCTTTGTATTGGAAGATTTAGGATGTGAAGTCTAGAGAAAAAAAAATTTTCTTGAACTAACTTTGTCTGCGTTCTATTTATTGACATCATTTGAGTTGGCGAGCTACAATAATATCAAATCAAATTATTGTGAGGGTCGAAATAAGATCCATCAAAACTGAATTTTAATTGCAATTTTTCTCATGAATTCATTTCTGGATGACAGCTTATTTTTCACTTTCATTTTAATGTTCTGGTGTATTTCAGCGATGAAAGAGTTGATTTCAAACTACCAAAAGATCTAAAGCAAGCAAAACGATTAGGTTTGGTTCTTTCAAAGTATAAGGACAAACATTATTATACTGTCTTATTTGGTATATCAACTGTATACATCATGTAAGTTACTGTCAAGATTGTTACTTGCTATTAATGCTTAGTTCTTACTTCCCTGATCTGCTGTTCTTTTTTGGATGTTATCGTTCGAAATTATTTCCAAATTTTATTGCAGAAAATACTAATTAAGTTTATCTGTTACGATTGTTATGTAAGATTTCATCCTTTTCTTTGGTTCGTCTTTTCGTTGCAATAACCATTCATAACATCTTATCAAATTTGGCATCATGGGTCTTTCTGAGGAAACTCCGATACTGTTACAATAACTTTATCACAATGTGTGTGGTCGAACATTTTTGCCAATCTCTTTTTTCATTTAAAAATTTTCTTTCCCCTAATTTCATGGTTGTGTGTATATTTCAGGTTGCAGTCATTAGCTATTCCTGGTTCAATTTTTCTTACTGTTCTTTCAGGATATTTATTTTCATTTCCAATTGCTTTATGTCTAGTTTGTACGGTAAGTCATGGTTAATGTCATATTATTAATTTTCCATTAATTAACACCAAAATAACAAATTAGCAGGTTTTTAGTGTTCAGCTTGTGGTGCACAGATATGTTATTTCTTTGCACGTTTGTTTGGACGCGAACGAATTATGGCATTTGCGCCGGAAAAAATAAGCAAATGGAGAAATGAGGTTTCATTTCATTAGAACTTTTAACTTTATTATTGTTATTTTTTTCTTTTTTTTAGTTGAAATGTTGATCTGTTAAAATTTATTTTACAACTAAATATCTTATAAAGTATCCTCAAATATTAGCAAAAAAATAGCAATAAGTGATGGCATATGGGACGAATTAATCGACATGGATTTGAAAAATTTGCAGAAAATTTTTTTAAAGAGGATTAATTGGTTTGCTGTTCAGAATAATTACTTGTTAAGAAAAATTTGAGCAAATGTGAAATACATCAAAGCATTTTGTACAAATATTGTTATTGCGTTAGATGTTATCTTAAGTGCCGTTAGATTGTGATTTTACTGTTTTAATTTCAGTATTATCCTTTTTTTTTCAGGTTTCTGATTTTGATAGTCTCTTTTATTTTATAATTTTTTTGCGAATAACGCCGGTTTTGCCGAATTGGCTCATAAATCTCGCTTCTCCTATATTTGACGTTCCAGTATCAGCGTTTTTTTTCGGAACATTTTTGGGTGAATGATTCCTTTTGTTTTCCTTCTTATTGGTTCTTAAGTCACAGTTTGTTGTGTAACTTTGCTTTATCTCATATTTGATTTCTTGCTACTTATTATTTCTTGTATTTCTTATTTTTCCAGTGACATTTTGACTTTCAGGCGTAGCACCACCCTCGTGTATCTACATTCAAGCAGGTGCAACTCTTCAAAAGCTTACACATGTAGGAGCAGCTTGGTCATGGAACGCTATATTATTAGTAGCTTTTACTGCACTTCTGTCTTTGGTACCCATCTTTTACAAACGGATAAATAAGAACGATGGAATTTTTGATAGATCAACAAAAAATATAAAAAACTCGTAGATACTAATCATGTGATTGAGTCCTTTATGAAATTTTGCCTTTCAGTGACATGAAACTACTCAAGAGAATTTGAATTAGTGCTATAATAATTGTGCTATAATTAGTACTATAATAACAGACATTAAATAAATCGAATTTGAGAGGAGTGTGAGGAGAGAAAGAACTAAAATGTACGTATTCAGTAATTTTAGGTTCACAAAATCAAATCGAGCAGTTTAGATTGTTGATGTTTTGAAGAGCAGGTAGACTAGAAGGGAATGATTCGGAGCTAGTAACGTGAACTTTCCTAAGTTTGCAATTTGAAATATTAAAGTAAGTGATAAGTGGTAGCCTTGTATTGAAGTACCTTGTATCATTTGTATTACAATTTGGGAATTTTTAAAGTTTCAATAAGCTGTATGAAAAAAATACCTTATTCGGACTTTGATATTCTTTGCTAGTCAAGATTTTTAATAAATAAAGGGTGTCATTTAATAAATAAAAGTGTGTTTAATAAATAAAAGGTTTTAACTTGAATTATTCTGGTACGTTTTCTGACAGCTTTTAAAGCTTCTTTATCTTAAAAGTATAACATTAAAGTCCTTTTAACTGAGACCGAAAGACGAATTATGTGTTTACTGTTTACCAAAAGAATGCATATAGCTAAAGCGATACGACAGTCTACTGTCTTTTATATTGGCTGCCAAATAGAACTTTTGCGATATCAATAATCTAGTTATAAGTATTCTTGCAAGAATTTTACCATCAGTAGAAAGCAAAGTAATACCACAATAATCCGAGAAATCGAAAATCTCTCGTAATACAGGTGGTGATAATCACATCTCGAAGAATCAGTAAATGTCCGTTTCGTTCCTAGCAGTTCACAATAAGCTCTATCGGGGGGCAATGTTTGGCCTCTGTATCTCCAAGTTTTGGATGGAATTCAGCAACCCCAGATACCTTACCAGATTTCGGCTGTTACATACCCTTGGGATGGGTTATGTCCGGTTCAGTTTTCACTGATTGTTGGACGATCTGCTGAATTACTGAGTCTTTAACTGAACACTGGACACTGGATTTGCAGTCACCCGTTATCATGGAAGAGGAGCTTCTATGCCCCTCTGAAGATGCCAGCTATCTGAGTAGGTTTCAACTATATGTCGATGGTAACAACATATAAATTCTGGATGAGTCATTTGTAGGTTAGTGATAACAGATGAATTAATTAATACTGGTTTGCACAGTTAATTGTTGCTTCTTGTTATGGTTCTGTACTGAGGAGCAACTCATTATCATAAACACCATATTTCAAAAGAAATACAGCCTAGAAACAATCTTGATTCTCGATCAGTGCATTGGTATCTCATCGATTATATTTTAATGCGTCAAAGATTCGTTCGACATGATTTATTCTGATTAATAAGCCTATGGAGACTTTCAGGACGAACCTAAGAGAGCAGGAATTCCTAGGAAAAGAATCAGTTAACAATCTTGATATTACTACAGAACAGATTTATAAATCATCCGATAGATCCCTCCCATGCAGCACTCTGGTAACTCATCAAAAGTAGCATCCAACAATCCTCCACAATGTGCTTTAGGCCATATAATCCTTTATTGGTTTTTCGCTTTAGATGGCATTTTCGCTACGTATGCACCTACCTATCTGCCTTATCTTCCATCTTCAATTTTTCACTTAGTAATGATATCGTTTCTCTCGGGTACAAACCAATTTGAATACATCAAACGTAGGTATGAATAAATGTGGACCGGAAATTTTTGAGAGAAGTGATGCAGTTATCCATGGATCAGTTCTGCTCCACTAAGTATTAGGAATTTTTTCAAGATAACAAAAGTTAAAAAGAACAAAGATAGTTAAAGAGGATATAGCTGATTTTATGAATCTTTTTTACTCATTCTTTACCAATTTCGTCTCATTCAACAATATCCATTTATCATGGTAAGAAGATCATTGAGTCAAATTTATTAGACATCATTTTTACATTTTAATCAGATGACAGTAACTTTGATCGTAAGCATTCTGCAAAAAGATTATCTTAATTGATTATGAACTATTCAAAAAATTTTTTAATAATACAGTCAGCACGATTGTTCTTTCAGTGATCTACTATAAGCCTTTAATAATCTGTTTTTTTCAAACATTTTGTGCTTGACTTTTGATCTCATTTCTACGAACAGTCGTGGTGATATTGTCTACACCTAAACTAAATTTAGAGATAAATGATTGTATTAGCAATGTAAGCTTTTTCAGAATTTTCAAATTTAATTAGTAATAAAAGAAAAAGCAAACAAAAAGCGATTTTTAATTTCAAATTACACACCTTTGAAAACAGCATTACTTTTAAAGATAATTATCAAAATTTTAAATTATTTCTCCCTGCTAGAACTCTTCATGTCCACAGATACTCTGCCATAAATAATTTTTCGCATTCCGTTGTTGTTAAATGAAACTATCGCCTCATTACCGGATTAAACAAGACAAATCGATAACCCATCGTAATCAGACAAGTTTTTTTAAAGTATTTTGATACATATTTCAAAGCTTATTATGAACATGACTCGTCATTATATTGCATTGTTTAAAGTTTTGTAACGGTGAAAATGTAATTAAATAATGATGCCAGGTATACTGAATTGATAATCTTTATTGATAGCAACAGTTTAAAATAGGAAGTCAAAAAAAAAAGATTGACTAATTTATTTATTAGTGTGAAAGATAAAATTAATAAAAAATACAGCAAAATATCGGCAATATATTTTGGAAAAATTAATTGCATGCGACACATTAACAGACTGACAGATTTATATTATATATTTAAATAAAATTAAAATAAAATATGATAAATTTAAGAAATGATTCGAGCTATGCGATGATTAGTGCAATTTATTTCTCTCACTAAAATTATGTCAGTGATCTATATTTTATTTGTTTTTTTTTTTTTTTTTTTAATTTCTAAAGTTTTTGCCTTTTATCAGGTTTCTCTTGTCAAGATTTTTTAATAAATAAAATGCCACCACTTGCTTGTTTGAATTATTCTGAACATGCTTTTTGCAGTTATTTCAATGATTCAAAATCTTCATTCCACCATCTTAACATTATAACATTGAAGTTTTTTTGACGCCAATTAATATGCTAATATCTTCTTCTGTTATTTTTTGTCCGATCATACTTCGACAATTTTTGACCATACCTTTTCTGATCAAAAATTATTTAGATAATATATTCTTGTGGTTTAACTTATTTTTGTATGTGGAATAGTCCACTTGTATAAATAAAGTAAATGGAAAAAGCTGATGGATTTTGGAATTATTAACTTTATAGAGAGTAATCGCTTTATAAAAATTCCCAAGAGAATATCTATCTTGATAATATGCTAAATGATGAAATTTGCTAATACGTTTTTTTGCTTTGCTAAATATTAAACTTCGTATAATTTCATTCTAATCAATTTAATCATTCAAAATGCTGAAGCTTTTTAGAATTTCTTATACTTATTTTCTAATTCATGCATTTTTAAATAGTTCTAATTCATATAGTTTCTAATTTGTATTACTGGCACTCTGAAACTACCAATCATTTTATAGTGATATGTATATATATATATATATATATATATATAATTAACTCATTTTAAAATATGCAACAAAATATGGAAAACTCGAGGACTTAATTACTTTCATCAGAAGCTGGTAACTTTTTTTTAAGAGGAACTTTGCTTTATTTAAGAAATAGCAGTGAGTCCGGTGACATAATCACCGTAATGATAACTCTTAACATTTGTTGTACTAAATATTAATGATTAAGTCATAAATTTTCTTAGCTATCTTTCGTTCTTGTAAATCTGATGATTGGTTTATTGCTTTCTTTTTTTATTCCCAATTTTCTGTTAAGAACTATTCCATACGCGTCTTTATCAATTCGATTCATTGATTCTGCTTCAGAGTTTTATGCTAGAATGGACAGATTTACTTTTAACTTGCTATGTTGTTTTCTTTAATAGCAGTAACTTGTGACTAGCAATTGTACTCTCAACGCAAAAATTTTCAAATTTTATACCTTTGCATAATCTGAGTTTGCTCTCTCAAAGTAACCTTTTTTTATCGTTTATTCTTTATTCGTCTTTGGTTATCAATTATCAGTTTCAATTTCGGTACGCATTTTGACTTATCCCGAAGTTTTCTTCTTCCATTGACTCTTTTGCTGGTTTCAATCATCGACACTGTGTTTATTGCATTCAGGAGAAATTACAGGAGATACATAATAACAGTATTTAAATCAAGCACCCATATAACAGTACATAATAACAGTATTTAAATCAAGTTATAGATTTCATTTTGAAATAGTTGACGTTATTTTTCATGGAATAGAAATCGTAACAATCAAACAATTTGAAATATAAGTTGGATGGATAATAAGTATTCAACAAGGGCATAAATTAAATTGCTATTATTCTGGTATACTTTTACCAGCTAAATATGTTCAGGTAATTTTTTTTTCGCTAACTCTGATTCATATAATCAAGAGAACGATCGATCGTTTCAATATTGTAATTGCTAAAAATTTCTAAATATTTCTCTTCGGAGATTTTTCAGTCTTTTGTTTCCTCAATATAAAATATGTTTATAATATACACGAAAACAAGAAAAGCAAATTCCTGAGAAAGTGTAAAAAATCATATTTGATGTAATTCATCGATGAAAAGAATGATAATTCAATTATTTATTTAGAATTCTCGTCTATATTATCCTAAAAACAGTACAATCAATGACAATTTGAATTTGACATTGCAGTAACACTTTAGAACTTTAGAACCTATATTTAAAAATCTGTGTAATGAAAATTAATGATTTCAAAATTAACATATATATTTCAATTTAATGGTGTACCTCAAGGCAGACTTCACCGCCTGGAGTTTTTGTTTCTTTTTTATTAACTTCATCTGTTCTGAAAATAAGCGATTTGAGTTAAAAAATGATGCATTCATTTGAGGTGAAATTTA